GACACAGAAGGAAAAGCTGACATTTTTGACAGAGCCACAAACACAAAGTATGAGAAACATTTCCATTTCCATCCAGAATCCTGTTTTAGATGTACATGGCCACATAATAATGCAAAAAGCTACATTCCATCCACTTAATACATTTCCATTGAATCGAGCKTTAAATGTTGCAAACCAAAAATATAAAGAAGAAAGCAACCAGTCGGCATGTTCTGTGATTCATTCAGTGACATCTGCATACAATTCAGAAATGAAACAATACATAAAAGCAAGGTATGTCATTGAGAATCCTTCAAACATTCTGACTTGAAACAGAATATACTTACGTTAAAACTGCAGTAATTAATTAAATGAATTCATGTTTATAGAGTATCAGACTCAGAAAGAACCTGCTAAAAGACATGTACACTCCAATCTTTTTAGCCACAAACTTACTTTGATCTTGAATCTGTAACATTTGTCAGTGATTAGTATTTGAAACTCACATTTCCTTAAGGTAACCTGAAGCTTCAATTTTCCACTTCAATACCAACCACAACAAGGTTAGTGTTAAGCTTGTTCTCTGTGGCCTGCACCCACCTACGTGCATGGATGTGATTTAAACATCCATCCAGTACAATCAACTTGTAGAGGACATACCACATTTCAAGAAAAAATTTGCATGATTTGGTACATCTAGAAACAATGAAAAACTCAGCAAAAACACACCCCAAACCAACAATGTATTGATTTCTGAGTTACTTTTCTTGTACTAACATCTCACATTTGAGCAGCAGCTCTACTACAGTGGTAAAAGTTAAGATTAGGGACTGGTTTTATGTAGCCTATTTGGAGAAACAAGTTTATAAAATGTTAATTTAGCCAGTGGGATTTTTACAAGGTTTTCATATAGACATTCCAGAAAAAGACGAAAAAAACTGAGTGTACATAGACATGAAAAATAACATTTCACTCTTGCGAAAATGATCCAAAATATTTTGTGTGATTATCCATTAATTAAAAAACCCACTTATTTAACAAAGCTGTGCATATCTAATATCTACCATAACCCACAACTGTGAAGCGTAAGGGAAGGATGGATAATCAATCCTGTTTCTGTAGCACAGTGCTCTTTTAGCACTGAAACCAAATCCAGTTTAAGATAAGAATATTGGCTCTCAAAACCTTGCMAGGCTGCACTGCTGCCCAGCTGCACACAGGATGCCGCTGCAGTTTTTGCAAACCATAGGCGAGTCCCTCCTCCCCTGGAGACAAACATCATTGCAGGGGACATAAATGATACCTGAATGTGAGATGTCCCACCACTACATGTTGTTTTGTAACATACAYAAAGCAATATAATAATAAACACAAATAAAGTCTTAGCAATATTATCTGACAGTAATTACCCAATAAAGGCAGTGTTTCTGCAAATACTGCCATGCAAAATTAAAGAGATTTTAAAAAAAGAAAATAGAAAGAAATCTCAAGAACAAAATCAGAAAGACTGATTTTTGTGCTGTGAGGATATGCATGGCTGGATCAGCTCCTGCACTGCTGGTGACAAGCCTGGGCTGTAACCTTTGTACTGAAAGGATGCTTTGCACTCCACCGTGTGGACAGCAGAAGGTCTGCTGCAGCCTCGGGAAGCTCCCTCTTAGCCAGTTTCTTTACTTTCTTTAGGCAAACGGAGTAGTTCTGTACATAGCAATTTAAAGAAAATCCCAACACGCGCTTAATAGGTGATAAAGCAAATTGCCATAAAATACAATAGTCTGACGCTGAACCAGGATAAAGCTTAGAGAGGTTTTAAGAAAGCTTTAAACATTTTGTCAAAGTAATTTCACTTCTGAGTCTTGTTGCACATAAACAAACCCTAAGCCGAAAAAAAACACCTTTGCTACTGGAAAAAGTAATCCCTCATGTTTATTTCCTTGCAGGCCTTACTGCCACGTGAACTGCTCAAAACAGATACAAAACTGATAAAGCAAATTGCAAAATAGATTAGCATCCCCTCTTCCCTCCATGGCCTCATGCCCAAAATCTAACACCAGTCTGAAACCACGAAGAAATTTCAGGAGCCAAATCTGAAAACCATGCAGAAACATGTTTCCAGCTACACTCCACTTTCAATTCTAAAAATGTGAAGTAGGAGCAAGCCAGTGTGAAGTGAAGTTAAGCTGGGATTAACTCTGTTCTACCCTAGTGAATAAAGTGGCATCTTAAAATAGGTATTGAGATAGCCCATATAAAAATTACCCGTTTTCTCACATGAGAAAATGAAAGTGGGCTTTTAGTAAAATAAAAATAATGCAACAAGATAATTATCAAAGTTACCTACAAATCAACTGAAAGCATTCAAATACATTTTAGAAAGACCTTTATGTTTGAGCCTATAAAAAGAAAAAGGCATCTGTAGGAAACATAGATGAAAAAATAAAACTTCTTCAAATATAAAAAGTGTTCTGCTTTCCAATAARTTCAAGTAAATTAACATACAGCAATCGCATCTGGCAGATAACAGATGCTGGATTTCAGCAACCTAAAAGCCCCAAAATATACAGATACCACTAACGCGGTGCAAGGGTCTATGTACAGCCTTCCAGGACGGGGCTGCTTGGGAACCTCTAAGTCACCCAAGTTCTACCACAAGACAGCACCCTTTTCAGTATAATCACAGAAAATGAAGATTAGAACTAACTTATGAAGTAAAAAAATGTTTAGATTATTACATATATTGGAATTACTAGAGAAGTAGCAAAAAAAAAAAAAAAAAAAGAAAAAGGAAAATGTTCATGCAAGATACCTGACCAGCAGTTCCTTTTAGAGAATGGAAAGCAGTGTGTGGGGCTGTTCCTCCTGTGTGTCCATGTTCAGACACCGAGACCAGAGTTGTTGCAAGGCTGTACCCTCAGGGCAGGCAGATCCAGGGCCCCACAGCAGCCTCAGGGCTCTGTTTGCAGCGGCCTCGCCATTGCCGGCCCTCCCTCAGCCYCGGCTCCGAGGAGCAGGCCCGGAGAGGCCATCAGTGCCCAGAGACAGCCAGAACACGCTCCMCGGGCACAGCGGCTCTGCGATGGCAGCAGCGTGTGCTGAGCTGAGCTCGGGCAGCAGCGCTTGGCCCAAACACACCTTCACTCCGGAGAGACAGGCRCCCGCAGTGCCGAGGGTGTGCTGGCATGGAGAAGGGCAGCCATCGTCTCCCGAGGAATGAGGAGGTGAGAATAGGACGTGTGAGGGTTTGCCTGTGGGCTTTTCCCTGCCTCTCCCCATTCTCAGAAAGAACAGACAGCACCCTGGCCCCCCAAGGGCTTTGCCCTGCCTCTCCCCATTCTCAGAAAGCACAGACAGCACCCTGGCCCCCAAGGGCTCCCCAGCTGCAGGGTGTACTGCAGCTCCTCCAGGAGATGCTCTCACTGTATAAACACCGGTTTTCTGATGTCCTCTTTGCTGCTGTCCTCTCCCGTCCCAGGTGTTTACTCTCRGCCTGCCATCCCTATGTTTCCTTTAACATCCTTTTGTAGCAAGCACCTCCCCTGCTCCAAACACCTAAACACTGAAGGGGATGTGTGCTTTCCCTCTCAGAAATACCCTGAGCACCCCAGCTGCCTGGGTTAACGCTGTCACCTCTTGCTCTCACCTTGTTCCTCCACTCTATTCAGTACAAATCTCAGCGTGCTTCTTTTTCTAAAGACTACCCTCAGTCATTCCTTAGCTGTTTTTAAGCAAAACCCAGAAGTCAGTCAGATTAATGTATCACAACAATTGCTCTGGAAGCCAGCACTTCAAATTTGAAAATGCTTCCCTTGTCCCTCAGTACTGCTTGAACACAAAGTCATCAAAGCCACTTTCCTGCCTGATGTGGGTAAGTGACTGACTTCCTAACAATGGGGTAAGAGCCCTCAGCGTGGCTTTGTGCCACAGATGCATTTTGAGGTTGTAGGTTATAGATGTCTGTGTTCTCTCAATAGCACCTTCACTTTCTATTGTAYTGTACAAAATTCCACAGGGCTAACCCAGGATCTTCTAATAATAATCAGAAGTGAAATTCTGGCCACCCCTACTCCTTCCTTTTCAGAATCAGCCTCTGTGTGATTGATTTTTTTCCAGCTTTTCTTTTGCTCAACCCTTTGAGCTTTGTATTTTGTTCATCATTGAAATTGTTCCTGTAGCATTTACTAAACCCCTGAAAACTGGATGCTGTTGTTCTCTTGCCTTTCAAGGAGGGTTTTGCATTTTTTTCCAAATTTCTCATGAACTCAAGAAATTTTCTGCCACCAGTCATCAGGATCTGTGAGTTTTGCTCTCTACAGATTCCACGTTCTTCTCAAGCTTATTTCAGTATGCGATTATTGCAGGAGGAAGAGGAAAACAGTGCCACCACCAAGATTAGAGGCTTGAAGTTCCATCTTTGAACAATCTACTCGCCAGCCTCTGTCCCAGAGCAAGGGGACACCTTTGGTGACCAAGGCAGACTTCATGGCAAAGTACAGTGATTACAGGCCTTAATACCCTTCCTCAGCCCACATAAAGGCTGGAAGRTGTGCCAGCTCTCAGTCTGGAACACCACCAGCAGCCTCTTGCGGTTTAATATCTGGGGTATATGTAACCAAAACTAAAGAAACATACAAGCCCCGAGCTGGGACAAAATCCAGTCAGGRGAGGCACCTCCTGGAGCTATGCCTGGTGATTTTCCAGTCAGTCCGAAGCTCATCGTTGGATGGGATAAGGAGATCATAAACAMATCTCTGTTTCCTTCTTTGCCATCTTGATGTAACTGAAGTTGTGGGCAGCATTCCTGGAGGATGGCAGASCCTTTCCAGAAGGTGTGCTGGAGCCTCCTTGAGGGATATGAAYGTTTTTAGTCTAAGCAGAGTTCCCAGTGCTCCAGCTCAGGTCCTGCATTCGCCATGAACACGTATGCTTTGCAACTTCAGAAATGTATTTTTTCCCTTTCAAATTCACCACCAGCAAGAAAAATAAAGCCAGCTTACACATGGAGGCATACATAATGTCTTAAGTTATAATAAAATAATTTTTTTGTTTGAAGAAAGAAGTTTATGAAGATTATTTGGGCCTATTTTCTGTTCTAAGCAAAATAAATATGAGAAACAACACATGGAATGCACTCTGGAAAATAAATTGACATCATGTCATCATTATGACACTGCAAATAACAGAAAAAGGCTCAATTTTGTGCCTTACAAATTATCTATATTCGATGCAGTGTCAAGAGAAAAAAATAAAAATGCACCAAATGTTTCAAAACTTAACTTATTGGGAAGAGTGAAAAGTGACGGTGAACCCAAGTGTCTGGGGAGAGGGTTTTTATTTCCTGCTGGTGCGTGACCGAGTCTGTGATACGTGGTAATAGCAATCTGCKGGATTGCATCTCCCGTTGGGTCCCGGTGGCCCCTGCGGTCCCGGTGAGCCTGGTGTCCCTGGTGGGCCTGGCAGGCCAGAAGCTGGTGAAACAAAGGTAGAATTAGCAGAGTCCTCACCAGAGCACGCACAGTGCCCTGCATTTCATCACTGACATCAGCTGCACTCTAGCACATCCACGAGAAGGCAGGTGGGGGTGACCTCACGCTACAACCCAGCTCGGCAGGAAAAGCAGGAGTGCAAAACCCATGTTAAAAACGGGAGAAAGGCCTGTTAGTTCATAAACAGCAATAGCAGAAATAAATCTGGAGACTTGTACCTGCAGGGCCAGGTGATCCAGGGTTACCAGGCAGTCCAATTCCAGGCTCGCCTCTTTCCCCTTTCTGTCCTCTATAACCTACACAGAATAAAGATATGGAAATAAGAGCACCCTCTTATTTTAAGCACTGATCTCCTGTATATCTTGTTGACAGGAAATTACCAAGACAAATATAATTGGGAAAGCACATGCTCTCTCCTCCTTTTCAGAAAGTTTGTGGTTTTTTTTTTTTTCTTCTGAGACAGCTCTTTAGTTTATAAATTCCTTCTGGAAAATATGAGCATTTCTAGCAGTAACTGTCGCATCCTCTGTCAAAAGACTCTTGTTTTGTTCACTAGCTGGACCTTTCCCCAAGATTTTACGTTACCTTCCAGAAATTTCTCTAACAAAGAGCCRAATGCAGACTTTACCTTCTCTGTTCTGCATAAACCCTTACACTTGCAATTTTTAGACTGTGAACTGGTAGTTTTATGCCTATGTGAAAGAAGACCCACTCTGTGGCCAGCGTTGTCCAGCTGCCCTCATGTGAACTGAGGCATCTTTGGAGATTGTGCTGATTTTGGCTTCGAAGCTTACTTTGACCTAAAGAGCTGCATCATTAATAAGCTGTGATTACTAATTATATTTTGAGTACTTGAGTCCTTTTCCTTCACAGCCCATAGTTTTGTATTTACCTAAGCTTCCACCTTCTCAGGGGCTGCAACTCATGCCCAACCTGTTACTTTCTCCTTGAACTGTTTTAAAAAAGTTTTATTAGTGGTAAACACTCTGGCTCTTTTAGAGCAGAGGACTCGAGGCTATTGGTTAAACATTTTCCTTGTTATTTCAAATTAGGAATCCATATACAAATGTACCTGTTCTGTTCAGATAATGAAAATTACGCAGGAGAGAGGATGAAAGCTTTTTTAAAGGAACAAGCATGACACCTGCCACAAACCCTTACTTCCAAATGGCTTACTAGGAAACCCTCTTCTGTCCCCAGTCCCTGAGATGCTGGCATGAAGGTGACAGAAGTTGAAGATTCATTTGCTGATTTCTGGTCACATTTGGAATGAAATTTGTCCYGCTTCAGGGACCAGTATATTTCTAGCATCATCTATGTCATGCAGTAAAGTATTGAGTTCTTGCTCTTGTGAAAAACATAGTTTGAATTAAAAGAGAAGAGCACAGCCAAAACAATCCACCTGATGTCTTATGAAGATTAACTGGCACTGGCAGGTGGATGGCAAAGGTTGTCTTGTCAGTGCTGTGGTCTAYGGCATCATTGCTATCTTACAGGATATTCCAGAAGGAAATTACTTTGAGGGCTGTGGGTTCCAATTCAGGGTTGTTACAACAGACATAATGCAATAGGAATGTACACAGAGAATTCAAGCTTTCTATTACACACAAACTCATTATACACTTTRGTAGAAAGTCTGTTACAATCATTTCAGCTTTCAAAACAGAGCATCAATCATCTTACTCTTCTCTCAGCACCGCAGCAAGGAAAATACAGTGAGGAAAACCATCACAAAAATGCATGCAGAGTGCCACACGACATAACTAAAGGAAATCAACAATTTAAAGCCTCACAGAAACCCAAATGTAAATTAATCATGCATTCTGGTCACCAAGTTGTGTTAAAATTATACAAGGCATATAAAAACACACAAGGTATAAAGACTCAGGAAAAGGAATATGCAGGCATTTGTGTTGGATTTTCAATCTTGGATTTACTCTCCAATGACCACAGTAGTATTTACATCTACATCAAGTTGGTTTSCTCTGAAAAATCTTGTGCAAGTTGTAATATTGCTACTTTTTWAAAGCTCAATCATACAACCACAGGATCCATTAGATATCCTGTTTATTTTATACTTCTCAATATTTTTTAACTTACAGTCAACAGTTACATTGCATTTCTCACTACAAACCCAGTTAACTGTAATTTTACAAAACAGTGCTGGCACTAATTATTTGTTTTGCATTTCTTTAGTTACGATGAAAAGAGGGAAATCACAGCATATATCACATTTACAATCTCCATGATAACCATTACTGCAGATCTCTGACACACAGCAATCAAAAATGAGCGAGATAGACTGAATAATTCTGTAAACATCACTGGAATACAAGACAATAAGGAAAAAAACCACCCACAGTAGGACAAAGAGCAGCCTGCCAATGCAAATACATGGGCCAGGGCAGTGATAAACCATTACTGGCTGTATCCAAACACACATGCAAGGGTGGAGTTTATACACAGTGGCAGGTAAGCTCTGCTAGCACTGAAGTTCAATACAAAAATTCCCAGATATCTTGTCTAACAATAARGCTTTATTTGACAGGATGCAAGGATATTAATAAGCAGACTTAYATGTAAACAACGTGAACACTGTGAAAAGTGTCATGTGTCATTCTGGCAGAAGAGTATTTAATTTTTAATGAGGTATATTTTACTCAGAAGCAGGGCCATAATTGCACCTCTAGAGGATATCACCTTCTTTCTGAGCTTAGACTGACAAAGTCATACAGTCAAAGGAAAATATTACCATACACATAAATCAGATTTTGATTTATTGTTTTTAATGTAAAGGCACATATAAGATGCTATCTACTTTTCTTGGTAGAATTACAATTCCATAAGAGGCACCTGCTTAATTCAAAAGGTAATTGYTTTAGCAGAGCCCTTCACTCGGGTTCCAGAAGTTTTGTTTTGATTTCTGCAACCCCAAAGTTCTGTTATTATAAACATGTACCCAACGTGGGTAGTATGACAAAGACTTGGTAGCAGTATGTAGCAAGTTTGTGTTCAAAGAGGTGAGCTGCTGCTCACAGATGAGTAGGAACAGCTGGAACACAGCTCTCAGTTTGGTGCTCCTCACAAACATCRTGGTCAAAAGTGTCACTTTTGAAAAGTGTCACCACAACACCCTYGGCTCTATATGGAAATGACACAAGYTCATGTGTATGAACTCAGAGGTAAAAGGTATTCAAACTGCTCCAGAAGGTATTCCACCTATGCCATGGAGACCCTCTTCCATCAGCATGGACAATGCAGTACCTGAAGCGAACATGTCAAGTATCCAGAGAAATCTGAAGTTCTTTAACAAAAATAAAAGGAAAAAATATGACCCCAACGGGGAACAATAAGAACAAAGTATCCACTGCGTTTCACTGTGCAAATACTTTGTTTTCTTAAAAAGACTTCGAGGCAACAGAGAGGATGCCAAGATGAAGCCCTCTCAATCAGCCACCAATACATGTTTTGAATTCCTTCTATGTGTTACATTTCTCTCAGCTGAGAGGGAGCAGCTGGGTTTCAGATTAAAATAAAAAAGTTTAATTTCAATCTCCACAGCAGAGAACATTTCACAGGAGACATCTCATGAAACTAGTGAGGATATCTCAGAAGAGTGATTGTGTCTAGCCAACACCAACTATAATGGGTTCCTGATGTCAGCCAAGGTTTCTACATGCTTCCACCATACAAATTAATAATTAAAATAAGAAACATAAATTTCACAATAGACAATACCAATAAAGATAAGAAGCTTTTGCTGTTCAYTGCATGGTATTTTTATTTTCTGAGCTGTGATGTCGGATTCCTTGAGGCTACCACAAGTTATGAGTACCTATAAAAATTAATTTCCTTAATTTGCTAGAAAGAGTGAATTTTAACTAGGATGAAATGTCTTCTCTATTGAGGAAAAAAAATYAAGTCATATTAACATAAAGGATCTCCGGATTGCTAAATTATCCCAAGAAACATTTCATCTAATGGACCAAAATTCACTTACAATTACAATTTGAAAAATCCAGTTAAGTCAGTGGAGATAACTGAGCTAGATCCTCTAACACGACAAGTGACTGTTTAACTCTAACACCTGACAAGCAGAGAGGYGACATTGATACAGCTTGTTTGTAAAGTCTTGAAATAAACTTACTAATTCTCTGGGAGACATTAGCATACTTTAAAACTCATACTGAATAAAGTTTCCCTGTTCTCCCTTAAGGAGATGCTGTACATTTCACTAGTAACACTACTCAAATTATCAGCTTGCTGATGCATATGCCATAGGTTATTTTTAAAAGGAATATACATTTATATATGTAAATCTTCCATTTGCTATTTGAATACCAATTACGTGCTTCATAATTTAAGCTGCAATTCTCTGTTGTGTTTTGCTTGCATGCTGTATTTTTAATGAGACCATCCTACAAATTATATTTACCTGAGCCACTGRAAAGTATCTGAGGAACGCTATGAACAACCTTGCTGAAGCTCAGCAGGTAAAAATTCTGGACTTCCTTAGAAAGGAATGACTCCATGTGTAAGACTCTAACAATTCTTTAAATACTCATTTTGAAAACCATGCCTACACTTCCAAAATTAGTATCTATGTTGTCTGCTTCTGGAGTAGCCCTCCACATATTGGGTTGCTGTGCAGAAGGAGATTCTGTTGGAATCCAGCTAAATCCTTCCTGACCAGTTTTCAGGGGCAGTGGCACCATGCTCAGGGGGGATGGAGGGACCCCTGTGAACCCACAAATGAAGTTGAATGCCTCCCCAAACACACAGTAGCATCTGCCTTTCCAGCTGGCTGGCTCTAGCAGGCTCTGCATGCAGCATCATGAACAGGACATGTTCACAGAGGTCCAAATGCTCACCAAAAGCATCTAYGGCTTCTCGCTGTCTGTGTGGCACAAGTGACTCACTGCCAGCCCAGACACGTATTATGGCACACAGCAAATCCCTGATCCCTGCAGCTGGCAATCTGGGCTGCACCAAGTAAGGAGTGTCTATCAGTCAGTACCACGTGTGTAACAGGACTTGTGCACACAGCATGCTACCTTGGTGGCCTCAGCCACACATGCACATAATGTGCTTCTCCAAGAAGTCTTGTTTGCTATGTATTTTATGGCTGAAGACAAGCTGGAATATAAAAGAATACTTTTCAATCTGCTCAGCGATTTGAATTTCTTTTTACTCTTGGCACAAAGCAATAACATGCACAGGCACAACTGAGGAAGGTGTGAAAAATATTTGTAAGTGTGCTTCTCTCACAGGACTGCCTCTTATTCTCAGYATAAAAAGGAGGCAAGGTACAMTTTYGGTTTTCTTTCCTTGGAAGTRTAATTTCTTTTGATGCATTAGAAAAGTAAGGGCTTCTCATTTAGCTTACCTTTTACTAATCAAAAAGAAGTATTAAGAATATCTGTAAAACAAATGGAAATCCCGTGTACATGGGGCATTATTTTACTTAAGCATAATGTATGGAAAAGCATGGTTTTTTTGTTTTTTTCAAGCATAGCTATCATCTTTTAGTCTTGATGCTCACTAGCTGGAAATGAAACCTAGAACATTTCACTTCCCAGAAGCATCTGAGACCGTCCAGTACAAACATCATCATTGAACAATTTTGCACTGATGTTGAAGGTGACTRTTTGCAGTGATCTGAATATTTAGGTAATGATGAAGTCAGTGTTGTAAGATTCTAAGCCTTTTATTTTTTTCCTTGATCCTTTATTCTTGTTCTTCTCATTCTGAGCTCATCACATTTTTCAAGCTTCTGTCAGGGTTTGCGCTTATCAGTGTTAGTAAGTCCTTATTCTTCTGATAGCTTTAGGATCCACACATCTTCAGCTTTGCTCTCATGTTCTTCATTCCAGTCTGACTTGCTCTGACTCCAGAGCAGACCAAACTAACAAAAGATAATAAAGAACTACCTACAGATCAACTGCAAATTACATATTACCCACCCACAAAATATTATTCATCAATAAATTCTATGTTCCTTTTAGTCTGTTTTCCATTTCCTTTTAGCCTCTGAAAGGCTGACTCTCCAGCCGAGCACAACTACAATGAACCTGCATCCCTCAAAGCTGCTTTTGCAGTAGAAGACAGTTCAGAGAAACAAGAGTCCTATGCTGTCCAAGTGCATTGCAATGCACAAAYTACTGTTTGGGGTATAATGAAAAATTGATTACTCTTTTTTTTTTTTTGTGACAATAGATTTCATCACTGTAAGAATTAATTCAGYAATACTTCGGTTTTCACTGCTTCTTAAAGAAGAATATTTGCCTTCAGTTTTYCCTTCCCTGTATTGTCTCAGGATCAAAGCTGAAAGCACTCAGACTAGGAGATCAAATCCTCTTTCTTAAATAAGATGGTCTCAATATGGAGCTGGATCTAAATAACTAGAGTGCTGACATTGTTTTTCTTCCTTATTCAAGTATTTTGTAGAAAACAAGTAACTGTTACAATAGTTCTGTCACATTTAAATATCTGTCAATRATTACCTTTATAACTGATTAGAATCAAATGCACTGATTAGGAGTTTTTAATCAATAAAATCCACACATTTACTATGGGTTAATATTTAGATCTGGTCTGGAAAAACATAAGTACATAAGTTTAAAAGTTAATTATTAGAAAGCTAGATAGGTAATCCTTGTCTTATTTAATAATCATTAGCAAGTGTATAAGAATTTCAAGATACAACTAACAGGAATATATTTTGGAATTCCTACCTTGAATTCCACGTTCGCCTGGTGGCCCTGGCAAACCATCCTTTCCTGGTGGCCCTGGTGACCCATCTTTTCCTGGGGGCCCTGGTTTTCCRTGAGCTTGGGAGGCAAGCATTGCAGCAGGCAGCTTCAGCTGGGATACAAATTGAGCCATCCTTTCTTCATTAATCAAAGACAAAAAAAGAAGTGGGTAAGAAATCTGCTAGCAACACATGGGAAAAAAATCCCAAAGCCCCACCTAAAGTTTCTGGAAGTGAGGTATTTTACCCTTCTTAATGTCAAGGTATTAAATGCTCCAAAAAACACTGGCAACTTCAGTTCCAACTCAGATTCATGTCTGAGTCTTTACCCTTTGAAACAATCAGAATGAATTTGYATTAAAATTTCTATTACTACTCTCTGTCACTAAAGTATTCCAATATTTCAAAYGACTTCTGACTCCTGTTCATGGAAGTTAAAACAGACAGAATGATCAGTACTTAACACACTGATGGAAAGCTACCTTATGTGTTTGTAGCTCATATTAAGCTGCAAAATAGAGATTAAATACTGCGAGCAGTTCTTGGAATGTGCTGCAACCCCAGAAGCAATCATAAAAAATCTGAAAGTGCTCAGCAAAGATTATTAATTGTGGATATATCAAAATAGAAATGTTCATACTGCTTGGATAAAGCACCCTTGGTAACATTTTAGTGTTCCTTAGAGGTAGATARAAGAGGTACTAACCTTGGCTCTGTCACATTTATACCACATTAAACCCCTAAACATTCCACAATTTAGTGGGTATTTACTGCGCTGGAGCTTTATGATTTAAGAAAAGAATTAGACTAGAGAAGAGTGGGCATCAAACAAAAGAGAAAGAAGTTGGTAGAAAGTAGGCAAAATGAAAAARTGCCAAAAACAGAAGATCTGTGGGAACAGTAGTGAGGTGTAGAAAATGGAAMAGCTATGAAGACAAAACTCCAACATTCCCTGAAGGCAGGACACTTTCTAACACTYTATTTTTGTGAATAAAAATACTTTTTACCATTCCATCTGAATGGGAAAAGGAGGTGACTTTGTTCAACAAACTACTCCTGAAATACATAGTAGGTTGAACTCCTGAGGGGTAGCACCCTGGGGAAGGGTGCAAATACACAAAATAATAACCTTGTTATAAAGAGAAAAAGTGCCTGAACAGACAAGAAAAGTCTCAAGCTTTGTATCATTTCTTTTATCCCTAAAAGATGATTTGTATTGACAAAATAGCAAAGCATATTGAAGACATAAGAAATACATTTTGCAATGGAAAAAAGCTACTGTTAAGGGGTGTTCAAGCAGAATCTTGTGTCAGAGACATCTATTTGAGCCACAGCTAAGGAATGCTGGGGAAGAAAAATATTCCTTTTCAGATTAAGGACTCATTTAAGAAATCTTACACAATACCAAGACCTTGGCTGAATCTGATACTTGCCTAAAACTGTGCAGAAGATGGTGGTCTGACAGGGAGCTCTGGAACTCTGCAGGGATATTTGCTGAGAAAACTGCACAGCAATTTAGACCTATATGACTGAAAGCTGTCAAGACTTTCCCTCATTTAGACAGTCAGRAACTAAGTAGGCAAAATAATTAGGTATTTCTATGGTCTCTGCTTTTCAGTAACTCTTCAATGCCCCAATGGTCTGTTGCATATACATGTATGTGCAGTGATATATGATACAAATCTGTATCTACAGTGATGCACACCTATGCTTGCCATCATGATTTGGAGGAGACTGTCTTTCAACGCTAATCTTTTACATAAAGCAATACTCTGGTGAACAGATACTCTAACTTCTAAYTGAACAAAACTATGTGAAGTAGATTTTTAAACAGCTACAGCAACAAATGCTAAATCCAACACAAGTTAAATGATATGTAAAGAAATTTTCAGCAGAATTTAATATTTAGTTGTATGATACCTTTTCTTACCTTCAAAAACCTTAAGAACCTCTTGTCTGATATATTTTTTTATTTCTTCAAGTGAAAATGCATCAGCCTGATGAGGAAAAAGAAAGGTGATATGTATCAAAAGAACATACAGAGGGCACTTGATGATGCTACGAAGATAAGAAATGCTCAAATTAGCATTACAAATAGAAACCTTTCACCAACAAATAAGTATTTTGATATTTTTTTATGCTATTTACTTAACTGCAAAGGCCACTTTACTGCAACATTACAATACTGTAAAAGACACTAATGGCCTGAAGCGGGAGAGGCACTCCCAGCTCCAAGATGAGCAGGATGTGATGTGCAAGGAAATTAACTTGCACAAGGCAGTAAAGGATGTCCACGGACACCAATTGCTTTASTCCCCTTTTGCACTGCATCTGCCAGCTTCTCACCTGCCCTGGGGACTGACTGCTCTGCTGCACAGCTGACCAGGGCAGAAACACAGCACCAATAAATTCACTGCAAAAGTGTTTTAGAGCTTTACCTTTTCTGAGTGAGGTTAAAAAGGACCCATACCACGGATGTGTGTGCCTGTGTGCACAGGCAGACAAATTGAGACATCTAAAATGGACAAACAGCATTTCATTGTCTTTTTAAATGCTGATTTYTGTTCTATTGAGAATTAATTTTGGCTGCTTCCTTTCCATTTGGAGTTGCAAAGGCTTAGACTTTAAATCTTATGCATGTGGAAAATGTGACAATTAACTATACTGAGTAGCCATATTGATATGCAGAAACTAAATAATTAAAGTTTATCCATAGCAGATGTTTAAAAAAATAATTAAAAATAACTGCCTGATCACCTGAGTGTATTTGTTTCCACCTTAACTGAACACTGAAATTATCTGAGCAAAATCCTCAGTTTTTCTAATACTGTGATATTGCTCAGTTGAACTTCCAATGCTCAGCACATGCTACCTTCACACTGTCTGAATTCACAAGGCAAACCAATATTTACTTACTGGAAACCCTGGGGGTCCTGGTGAGCCTGGGGGACCTTGATGACCTGGTGATCCTGGGTAGCCTCTGTCTCCTGGAGGGCCAACAGGACCCACATCCCCCTTTTGTCCTGATGGGCCAGGTTTCCCTCGTTCACCCTGTGGACCTCTGTCGCCTGGAATACCCTGATCTCCCTGTGTAAAATAAAAGCAGAAAGAAAACAATTGCACATAGTGGAGCAAACTTGAAAARTCACTCGAGAATGCTAAACAAAAAAATTCTTGCCTGTTCAGAAACTGATTGAGTCAATGCAGGGAAGATGATTTTACAGACTGAACCTTCTCTTTAAAAATACATTTTGTTTTCTTGCACTTTTGATGTTGAAGTAAAAAAAAACTAACTTGAATCTGTAACCCACTTTTCAAGGACAGAATTTGAGTATAGAAAGTTTYTAGCTCTTGTAATGGTCTGGAAATGTCAATTACGGCATAGGTAAAATTTAGATGCTCAAATTCACATGGGCACAAGACACCAGGATTTTTCCTCTTTCTCTAGAAGCCCACTATTTTATGTTTTCTTTCACACAAAATTTTTCTTAATCAAAGTTTGTACCTGTACCTAAAGGCAGCCTAGGAAGATGCTGCAGAGGGTCTTTTAACAAGGGCATGTAGTGACAGGACAASGGGGAATGGCTTCAGACTTAAAAGGAAYRGGTTTAGATGAAATAYTCAGAAGAAATTCTTTGCTGTGAGGATGATGAGGCACTGGACAATTGTCCAGAGAAGCTTTGGATGCTTCAACCCTGGAAGTRTTCAAGGCCAGGCTGGATGGGGCTTGGAGCAACCTGATCTCATGAAAGGTGTCCCTGCCCATGGCAGGGTGGGTAGAATTGATGATCTTTAAAGGCACYTTCCAGCCCAGGCCTTTCTATGATTCTGTGAGATATAATTTTTCAGGTTTATAACCCTMCAGAGAGGTGGAGACAGCTCTTCTGTTAGAGATAAAGAAAAAGGCAGATTTCTTTAGAACCATGGTGCGATGGCAGAGTGAAGCTGATGTTTTTCTTCTACACAGTCCACATTTTACAGGCTGCCAATGTGTAGGAGTGAAATCAAATACTACAGCAACTTTTCAAACAAGCATTTTTAACTGCCTCCAGTGTTTTCTTTGTGTTTTGAAAAAGGTCCTTGTAAAAATTCATAAAAGTAGGACATATCTTCCTCCAGATTTCTCTTTAAACTGTCCACTCGCAATTGTACAAAACTCAGGACTTTTGCATTTTGTGATCGATGCCTAAGATACTGATTTATTCAGTCCTTCTTGTTTCTAGTGTTCTCCCACCTTTTGTAGTTTATCTTGTACCAAATTCAGTGCAGAAAGAACTGCTGTTTTCCCTGGGTTTCTACCTGCTCTTGTCCATCAGGTTCACATCCTGTGATTGAGGTATGCAGATAACRGCAATAAATGAGCCAGGCATTAGTACTCTTATCTGTTGAAATTAYTTGAAAACTAATTGGTATAAACCATGTTTTCAGCTAGCTTATCACTCAGTTTATAAAACAGTAATAACAGCAGTGCTTGGTCACTCAAAKGATATATAAGATTATTTCAGCCCAGGTGGCTTATTCCTTCTTAAAATKGATTCTATGAGGGCATTCAWATATTAGACAAGAAAACCTCAAGCRTTTTATTCTGTCCTTCCAATTTTSATGCTTCTGTTTTCTRCAACAGCTGGTCTCAAACAGAAGGAGAATGCTGTACAGCAGTAATAATAACGGCTGCAATAAAACCTTGACTTAATTTCTGTAATCACTGCAATTTCTTTCACAGATGGAGACCTGTGTCCTTAGAGGCAAAACCAGAACATTGTAAACAGTTATTTTTTAAGGGATGATAGTTTTTGTAATAATAGTTAAACCCTCAGTGTCTCTTTAATGTCATAAAGCAACATTTCCTTTTCCAGATTAAACAGATTCTTTTCTGATTCATCAAATAAATGTGGTATCCATTGGATTAGGACATCATTACTCTAGCAGCATTATAACAAGATCATCTTTCATACATTTTTATATATATATATGTATACACAAATATATACACACATATATATATATAAAACCTCACCTCTCACTTCCTGTAATCATTCCTCTTCACCATGATCTTGTTACCATGAACAGAACTGTCTGAAGGCTTTGGGAAGCAGTCAGGTATTGCACTGGCATTGCTGCTGCCTAAGTGTGACAAAYCTGTTTTATATAATACATGATTTGTCTTTGTGACATTGAAAGGATGACAACAGGGCAGGTTTGTAGCTTTTGTGAAGTCTGACAACACAACAGGATTAGCTGCTTTCCAATTTTCACCTATTGATCAATTTACACTGTCCAGCCCAACTGTGTTAGAAAGTCTATAAAATGTGTTTTTCCTCTAAATGCAGAAGCCAATTCAACTCTAATTACCTAAAATAGTGTCTAGGACTAAACGTCTTAGATGTCTGGATGACTACCTGAAGTTCACAAGAGAATTACTGATTTTGCCTAAGGGAAAGATGCTGATGAGGTGTTCAGATGCTCAGTAAAAAAGTTATCATGATAGGGACTTACACGTTCTCCTTTGGGTCCTCTGTCTCCTGGCCTCCCCACAGCACCCTAAAAAATGTTGTTTGAAAAAAGATAAACTTATTACTTAAAAGCTTTGTTGCATATACATGTGTTAGCAGAATGGAAAGCAACTCTCAAGGATTAACAGCTATAATATCCGTGAAGAATAAAATATATAAAAGCATGTTTTCTTACCGGGGGACCTGGCAATCCATCTTTTCCATTGATTCCCTATGAAAAAAATGCAATATGTTTATGTATTTTAAAAATATAAAGGGTAAAGCTCAATGTTTAGTGCCATATCAATAAGTAYTCTGAAGCTGCAGAAACAGCACTTTGTGTGGCTACAATATAGAAATACAAACAGCATCAAGATGTRCATGAAATCTAATGAGCACCCAGCTTCAAATGACAGATTATAGGGAAATTTTGCAAATGTGGAATATTTGTGGACATGTACATGCACATTTTCAGTCCCAGCTAGTCATAACCATGGGAAAGATTTCTTTTACTACCCTTCTGCTGTTACAGAGATTATGCCTTACTATTCTGTGTCCAGATCCATTCTTTGGTCATGAGGACTTGTAGCATGGCAAGGTTTTGGTCTCCTGGGCTATACCTATTTCCTTCCTAAAAGAAGGTGGTTGYACTCATAGCACCTGCTGGAAACCATTCCAGGCCCACGTTATCCTCCAGACTGGAAYGTGGCATGATCTGAGAGTCCTAATTGGAATGGGCCAAAATAATGTCAAAGTGTATATTAACAACTGCACAAGGCCAGATAACTGCAAGATAAATGCTCTGGCAGTGTTTAATTTAGCAGGTTGTTTATGGATCTGCACACGTAGCAAACTCACAGCTGTTTCCCTGAGTGAGAAAGGAKGACTTGCATGAGCAGAGACATCACCAACATTTCTTTCCTCTCTTAAACAGCAAAGTGGAGTTTTGCACAGATTAGGCACCTTGGGTTAATTTCCTGCTGTAGATACAGAACTTGGCTCATCTTTCAAGGCAGAAGGGTAACTTGCTGACAAGCTGCAAAGGTCTGCTTCTAATGCTCATCCCCAAAACACCAAGGTTCAGGGGAGATAATGAATTCTGCACTACCCTTGCTGAACCCCTTCTAGAATATAAACTCAGTCTTTTTAAAGCAGTTCAGACAGTGCTGACTACACTGCTGTCACACTTYTAGTATATAAAGAGATCAGATTAGACATCTCCTAAGTGAGCACTAAATGCCTCAGCTGCAGTGTTGCATCACCTGTATACAGAAGAGTCACAAAGTTTACTCAGTCATGAAGCACACGCTTCTCTATCTAAACTGAAACTGAGAACCTGTCCAGCCATCCCATCCTTTACTGACTGTGTTGAGTTCCTGGGTTCAAACTCTCTCCCTGGAAAAAGTACAGGAGGAACCTTTATGTCAACAAGATCCAAATGACCTTCATAAGACCTTTCAAGACAACAGCTCAGTACATTAACTATTAAAAGACCACAATACCAGGAATTCTTTTCTGGATGACTGATGTTGAGCACTGCAGCTCTGCATGTTCTTCACACGTTACCTACTCCAACACAAAGCAAGATGCAATGTCTTTCTTTTGTAACTTCTGATAAACTAAGACACATCCTTTTGTAACAAACACACATATTCAGTATYAAATTGCTTACTGGTTTTCCTTGTGGCCCTTCTGGACCAGGGAAGCCTATATCTCCTATAGGCCCTCTTTCACCCTACGAAAGAACATAACACATGTATAAATCTGCATGAAAAATSTTGTATTAGGTGACTGAAATATTTGTTATTGTAAGAATCCAGAACTGAAAGCTGTACTTACAGGTTCTCCTGGCATCCCTGGCGACCCAGGAGATCCCGGCTTCCCCTGCAAAAAGAGAACATTACAGATTCAAATCAGTAGGAAGCCAAAAAAAATTTGAGAGAATAGCTATATGTGAGTGAAATATTAATGTTATTGTTCATTAATGCTTTGAAATACAAAAATGAAATATTTTACCACTTTTTTCATATTTAATGAAGAATCTGGCTCTTGTGTTAAATATTGCTCAATCCTTTGATTTTCTTTACCCTTCCTGAACACTGAGGTATTTTAATGAAATTTTCTTTCACAACACCATGATTTCCATCTTGAGAAGTCAGTCAAATCGAAGTTTTTCCCTGTATATGTAAAATCAAGAGTTTTTTTCCTTCAGATATTTTCTAGTCCTGATTTTTTTTTTTTTTTTTGCATGTGACTTTACTACTGACTTAATGCCTTTTGTAAATTTTCCTCATGCTCTTTTTTGGCCACTTTTTATGTTCAGCCTGCCAGAAGTCACAATCTCTTCACTTATGACATCATTTAAATGCTGATTTTAAATACCTCTTTTAATTAGRATGCTTTTCTTTTAACAATTTGAATCTACATTTCCTGGAAATATCCTTAGACCAGATCCTCAGGTGACTTGTACAAGTGAGGGACCAAACCCACCAACACCAGAGACAACTTTGRGAACAGCAGGACTGAGGGTTTGTGTTGAGGAAATAGGCATTGGTGGCAATGCTTGCAGAATCCCAGTCCAAGCTTCCCTGACAATCCCAGTAATCTCAGCAAAACACCACAGAGAAAATAAGAGATTTATATTTTCAGATGGGAAAAAGGGTTCACTATTCAATCTAGAGAATAAGGACAGGTAAGGAAGACAAATTGTTTTCCAGTAAGATATGTGGAGATGTCTCAAACTTATCTAGACTACTGAAAAAATTTCATCTCGCATGTCTACTACTTTGTTGATCAAAACTCCTTAGCATAAAATGTAAAAGTAAGCAATTTATTTCAGGAGAAAATATTTTATTTCAGTGGATTTTACTAGAACGAAATATAATCAACAGAATGCAACTCCATCAGTGATGGAGAGACCTCATTAAATATTTCATACCCAACTTGAATARAGAACAATAGAGATCCAATAATTTGGAACATATCCAGCTGGAAATTCATAGGAAGTGAACAAATGTGATAATTCTAACCAGCTACAGCATTATTACTATTAACAGTGTAAAATCTGTTTCAGAATAACAAACTTTGAAACTCTTATATCTGCTATGAAACTCAGGGAAATACTTTTCCCCTTACATGTGCATTTTTTTTAGGAGAACCCAATGAAATTAGGCTATTGAAGATGATGTTCTCTCTTGGAACTCACAATAAATAGACTAAATCAGTGGCTAATGGAAATGGGAGTGCATAGACACAAACTTCTCTTTRTTTCATGAAACAGATATTTATAATTTAAACAGCTCCGGAATGTATTGGTAGCTGCCAAATTTAATAATAAATCTATTTGCATATAAATAACTCCATATTGCTTCCTGAAATATAGATAAACCTTTTTATTAAACTGTGAATGCAATCTAATATCTTCATTTCCTTTAAGAACACAAATGAATAATTACAATTTCAATTTATCATTAGTTACATTTACTTTCACCTACAACAAAGTTTCTCTGTGACTTTCAGAAACTTCTCTGAATACCACATGTAAATAGCTGACAAACTATTCCCCTAAAGCAAATGTTTGATCGACTYGATATGCAGATCCTTGTGGACTGCAAGAACTAATATTCATAATTYTTCTTTGTGATAGAAAGATGCTCAGAAATTTGTGCATGCCCAGGAACAYAGAAAACAACTTTATCTGTATTAAGCAGAAGCAATGAGAAGAATCTCATAATTTCTTAACTAAACATACGCAGATTCAAATTCCAGCATTATCATTTATTCACACAACTCACCCTTGTCATTTTAATAATAATATGAACACTTGTGCTATTAAAACTCTAATTTCTTTAGGGAAAACATATAATCTTCATACCTGCCTCTAAAGCATGGTCCAAACTCTGGTTTTCCATAATGATTGAGATTACAGCTTGGCACCTTGCCTGACCTGGTTTTTAGCTTCTAAAAACCTGAGTTTTCTTTAATGTATATACTTACCGGTGTCCCCGACACTCCTGGTGCGCCGGCTGGTCCTCGGTCACCCTGAAGAAAAGATAAATCTATGTTTAAAYGACAACAGTCAAAACAGAAGTTTGTTGGTGGATTCCCATTAAAACCTGAGGAAGGATTATTCAGTGAACTGAAAATGAGGACAAGAACCAGACTAAATGCTAATATTTATCTGTGCCACTGGCTCATTTTTACAGACTTGAAGAAGTAACCAAAATCCTTTGTTTAGGTTCTCTTATATAATGTTTCCCTTTAACTCTGCTTGAGGCCTCACTAGAAAAGGGATGGAAAGTCCCTGACTAATCTGTAGTTCTCCAAATAATTATAATTTGTGGTCATGACAATGACCAAAATTTACACAGGGTAATTCACTTTCATATCAACAYGCCCATATTTAAGATGTACCTTTCAAAGAAGTTTCTGCTTTCGCACTACCCAGTCATCCATTTACTACAAGTCAGTGTTCTCTGTTTGCTTGTGCCATGGCCCTTTCAGGACAAAATTTCTCTTTTATAGCACACAGCCACTTTCATCTGTGCTTTAAGCTAGGACAGTGTTGTTTTTTTGGGTGGAACTTATGAGTCACAAATTCATCTTTCTTGACAGAACTGTAACCCAAAGCAGACAGACAGAGCTCAACAAGTGCTACAACTCTACACAGAGGAATCTACCCACTGCTGACGTGTTGGTCTGCAACACTATGCTCTGTTAGTGTAATGTTGGTAAAAATGTCAGAAAAAAATCCATCTCCTTGTTTCCATATTCATAGCAGAAAAGTCCTGGCACTGTTAAAGCTATTCTAACATGAGAATATTTTTCTGAGATGAGTTTATGTTACCTGGAGCAGATTTGCTAAAGCTCTGTAAAGRTAGCCACAGCCATGTTGTGCTGTGCAGAAGTGTTGGGAAGTGTTGGGATTTCTGGTTTCTGTTCTTATAAGGAATTATGGTTTGTCTCATCCTCACCATTTCATTCAGGTGCACAATGACACTGCTGGTGACTGGAGACACTTCAACTGCTTTACACAAGGTGTAACAGGTGACAAGTTAAATATCTGACCTCGTGTCCCAGGGAAGAGCTCACAGCACACAGCTCCACCTCTCGTGCTYTGGAGGCTGGCAGAAATCACTCAGAGAGGAACCCCACACACACCTCTGGAACACTGAGTGGGATCCCTGAGCAGCTGCAGCAGGCAGGGCACGCTGTCTGGAGCACTGCACTCTGCCTCAGGGCTTATTCTGGACATAAACGCTTTCTCCCTGTATGCTGGCTAAGACAGTGAAACTAGAAATTCCGAACACTTCTCTTGAAACTCTTTGTTTTTTCTTGTCAGGATTATTCTGGTCCTTTCAGCAATGTGGCTTGCAGCACAGCTGCACAAAMCACTGTCAGCACAGCTGAAGGAAGGGGCACTTAATCCACCGGACATAAAATTCTTAGGGCAGTTCATGAAATTATCATGAAATTACAGCCAATGTTGTCTGTTGAAGATGGCATCCTGCTACACAGAGGTGCATAACAGCTCTAAATTAAAACCCATCATGCGCTATCCGGCTGGTACTGCCAGGCTCTGAGATTCTGTTAATTTATTTGTGCCAAAAATGTGGAATTCTGACCAAATTTAGTTAAGGAAACGRTATTTTTACTTTGGGAGAGGGCCAAACACTGACTTAACTGGTTTRTGGGATCTGATCCATTGCTTATTCCCTTTATTTAATTCCTGTCCCTACTTTGTCTCAGTTAACCTGTAATGTCTCCCTGTGTTTGTTCATTCTGAAATAAGACTAGTCTTTAATTGCTTGTAAATTGTAGACTCCCAGAGCAAGAACCATCTCATGTAATTTAAGCACCTAGTATATACCCATCCTAGATCTTGTCACTGCCCCCTCTCTGAGCAAGTGGGAATAATCCACAGTGATATTGAGAGAGAAACTTTTAATTTACATTGCTTTGTGATGAAAAAGAAGTTTCAGTCAACTGTTTTTGTATGAAGTCGCTGAATAGCATAATTCAAAAAGCTGAAAATATTTCATTTGCAAAAAAGGTTGACTTTTTTCCTCTTCAGTTTAGCAGACATGGGCAAAACAAAACTGGTTTTGTTGACAGAAAACATATACACACATTTTTAAAAAAAAWTATCTGCTAAGTGTTTTGTACTTTGCTATATTTAGAAATGAAWACCAACATCTTGACTTTTTTAGCCTTTCATGAAAACCTTTCTTTAAATGCATAATCAGCCTCCACAATTAGAAAGCAAAAGGCTGAGAATAAGACAGATGGACTGTAAGCATAAGGTGATGTTCAAGAGACAAGAGGAACTACACACAGAAAACTACTAACTATACTATCACCAAGTATAGTAGAATTCTACCAAGAATATTACAAGACCTCCTACACACAWTTTTTCATTTGCAGAAAATGAAATTTTATGTTCAGTGAGTATATGATTTACACCCACAGCAAAGCAAAAAATGAAAATATAAATAAAGATTTTTCACACAGAATCATTAACTTACACATGAAAAATAAATCAAACAAGGCTTCAGAAAATATTTAGTTGCAGATAACGGCCACTAAGAAGTCATGACTTCTCTTTAAGAATCTTACCTTTTCCCCTGGAAGTCCTTCCAGTCCTGGTAATCCCATCGGTCCTGGATCTCCCTGTTTTTTCATTTTTTTTTAAGTAAAAGATTGCATACATTAGCATTTCTGTACTCTACATGGGAAATGTTGAACAGCAAGCAACAGCAGATTATTATTTACCCATTATTAGGTAAACAAATTTTGTTATGCCCTGTTTTACTGATTTGCAAACTAAGCTTTTCCCAGAGGCTCTGGGTGAGTATTTGKCTCAATGGTTTAATTTTGATGAAAAATGTAATATGGAAGACTCCACTCCAGGGCTCTTGCAAGCCATKGTCACCTCTGAAGCACCTCCAGGCAGCAGAGCCCTGGGGTGTGAGCAGAAATTGCCAACCAGAGAATCAACCCCCAAGCAATTTGGTGCTCTGCTCCCCAAACAAAGGCTGCTCTGCAGCAAGGGACAACAGGCTGGATCTCTGGGTAGCTCCTCAAGTTTTGAACGAAAACTGTAAACATTCTCTGCTGGAGAAATCAGCTTAACATGCAGAGTAGGGACRTCCTTTTCAWTTTTTTTTKAAAGGAAAATGATAATTTAACATGGACATTTAAAATACAGCCAACAATTSCAGTATTTCAGCAATTCTTAGTTAAATCAAAAGACATGGCAAATTGCTGACTGGATTTCCTGAAGTCTGACAGATCTCACTTTTCACACATAAACTCTGTTAGTTGGTGTTTTCTGAGTAGGAAGGGGATGCTRGTACAGAAAGGTGTATTCAGCTTTCAGGCATTACGGTGAAACAAAAAAAGAGGATTTGTGAGTTTTTTTGAAAACAGATTATTAAACTGCTTCAGAAAACTGTCTCACAACTCCATGTTTTGCTGTAACTGCTGAGAGGTTTTGGTTTGGGTTTCTTATTGTCCTTAAGAAATACCACGTGTCAAACTACTTGAGGAATTTTCTAACAAGAACAAAAAATACACACATACCACTGTTCCAGGATCTCCTTTTGGACCCTGMAAAAATAACAAACAAACACCAAAACAAGCCACATTTAAAGAAGAACAGTTACACAATCAGATGGGTTTTTCAAAGGCCAGCATTATGAGTATACTTTGCTAATGCAGTTATTTTAGAACCATTATTAATTCCTGYCCTCTCAGCTGATTAATTTAGTACAAAATCTTAGTAATATTTTGGGTTTTGTTTTGCTGTTCCAGAATACAGACAAAGGCAGCTCTGTTTTTTGGTGCCAGCCCATAACTGTGCTTACCAGAGAGACAATAATCTCAAAACAGAACTTGCCTATGATGCTAAAAAAGGAGGAGGATGTAAATAAGTGCACAGCATCTTTGGCTCCACAGAACCAAAGCAACAGTGTCCAGCTGCAAGGTGCTRCATCTGCAGTGTGAGAGACACCAGCCCAAAATATAATTCTTTGGTTTACACATTTTTCTGCCCTGTTGTGACATGTAATGACCCAGATCAGAATTTACGAGCTTCTCATTTCTGGCACCAAATTTAATCCACTACAAACTATGCCTCCATGAACAGTAAGTACAATATTACACATTTTTGGATAATAAGACACTTTCACTAAAGAGTCCAATACCAAATTATGTTCCATTTCTGCAGTCTTTACTTTGTGAGGATGAAATGCCTTAATCAAAATAAACCACTGTCCAAAATGGGCTAAAATGGTTGGTAAACACATAAAATCACAGACTTTTCTATACAACAATCATATCCTTGTTTTTTAAATCTTTCACAAATAACCCAAATTCCATGCAGCTAACCAACCTCTGTTTCTGTGTCAATTAGCTATTAGAAATTAGATTTCTGAGAGCACTTACCGGAGGCCCTGGTGGACCTGGATAACTAGGGACACTCACACCTCCCTGTAACAGCAAGTTTAGAAGTTGAGTTGGGCCAAAATGAGGTGGGGATTGAAAAAAAAAAAAGCAATTAACATTAAAGAGAAATACCTGCAGTTTATATAAGCTGCTCATTCCATTTCTTTCATTGTAAGGCATACCCTTTAAAGCATAAAAACCAAGTAAGTGTCATTTATGAATTATAAAGGCAGAACTATCGTCCTGTTCCAAGTCCTGTCGTTCAGCAAAGCTGTGGTATCCTTCTTGTTCTCAGTTTATAAAAGATTCAAGATTTCAGAAGAACATAAGATACACACAAACACAGCTTGACACTTCTTTTTTTTTTTAATTATAAAGCCAGAAATCTGTGAATTTCTCAGTGAACATTATATTTTGAGATTTATTATTAGAATTCTCTAGGATACATTTTTTTTAGGTACTATTCCAGTTAATTTGAAGTCCAGTGACCTCCACAGACTTTCCCTAGGTTACCTGGGTTCTCTGATATAAAGTATCCAATCTGWCAATTTTACTGTAATAATATTGGATACCAAGGTTAACTAATTTGAGCAGGTTTCTAAGATGGCTTTAGTGATCTGAACTCACTCAGTGATGAATTGCAAGAAAAGAAAATATGGAAAAGAGAAACCTTTAGGAAAAAAGACACTGTCACCTTCCAGCAATATTAATTTTTATTAGATCAACAGTCAGTTCTTTATATTACATATTACTCACAAGTATGTTGTTCCTAAAATAAATTCAAGATATAAAACAAAATGTCTCACCGGAGGCCCAGGTGGTCCAGGTTTCCCAGGAGAACCTTCACTTCCCTAGTACAGCAAGAGATTCATGTAACTCATTTACTGTAACTGCCCACATCTATTCCACACTCAAGCTATGATGACCATAATGACAATAAACAAGAGATACAGTCAATAAGAGCAGGTAATATCAAGAATAAATCCTCCTGCAATGTTCCTGCTTAAGCTTTAGGGTGGGTATGAATCATTACTTTGCACTAGTTTTTATTTTAGTAGTTACTTTAGCTGCTTTATGTGTAGTAACTTCCTTATGGCAAAATAGCAGTGATAACCTGGGTTGGGWAACATTTCCTATGTACCACGAGGGAAAGGAAGGAAAAAAAAAAAGAGTTGTTAATGTGAATTTCTAAGGAAACGGCAGATAAAAGTTAACATTCATTCTATGCTTTGTAYATTATTTTGCAAAAGCCAGTCCTCAGTTGATCATTCATATGTAAATAAGGAATAGCTATGGTTTCAGATGCTCAGTTTCCTTAGAAATATATTGAATATTAACTAAGATTTTTTTTTAAGAACCTTCTTTTTAAGATAAATAATTAATATCTTTTTGGTTTTTATTGTAAAACATTAATCTGTTGTTATCTGTATTTGTGGCCTATTCTGCTGTTGTGTACTTAATTGCTCATACAGAAAAAAACATAGCTTCTGAGATTTTTCCCCAGCAGAATCATGGGGTCTGTGAATACTAGAGAGTTACAAAGGTTTCAGTTTAAAATTTCCCAAACAATCTTTTCAAAATCTCACCACTACAATTCAGATAAATACACTGTGTAATTTAAAACAAGTCTGTCAGAATTTTTCACATCTGACTTTGTTGGATCTTATTAAATATATGTCAGTGAGACACTTAAGTCACAAATTTAAAATTACTAAGKTGGCAGAAGTCAAGCTAAGTGTTCAATGCCAATAATTAGCAGAAAAATATTATTCTGATAAACATTTATACTAGAATAATTTCCAAATGGCCCTGTTAATTGATAGAAACTGTCAGCCTCTCAACAGTGGTTTGGAGAACTTAATGGGGAATTRAAATACTATTACTTTAGAAAGCACATTATGTGACTAGTTCTCAAGCGTGTCCCAGATGAAAGAAGGAGGAGAAAATTCCTGGGGCTATATTTCAATTTACTTCATTTCTCTACAGCCATCTGAGTTTTGCCCTTTTAGAATGATGASACAAAAATTGTAGAGCAGGAGCTTCTCATTGCTTCTCATTGTGGTGAATTGTGAACAAGGAACTAACAAAGATCTGTGTTCTGCATTCAGTTATATAGAAAGGAAGTAAGTGGAGTAAATTTTTGTTACTGTGATCTGCAAAGATTTGATTGTCATTCAAATTTTGCACTGAAATAATTTTAGACCTTTACAAAATAATTTTCTTTATTATTCATACCAAAATTTTGTATGGTATTAGGAACCCACACATGGATGTGGTTTTGCTATGYCTGGAACATTCCAGAGCACTATTGAAAAGAAAGCTGTATTCATATGCTAAAYGTAGAACATGTCCCAGAAAGTATTTTGCAGCAAAGTTTGTCTCTGCTTTACTGCACTGATCTGAGGTACCTAAGAACTGAATTTGACCTTTTAGTTATAACGGATAACATCAAGCTCCTGATAAAGAGCGTGTAAGAGTTTGAAAAAAGCAGTGCTAGAAGAGAGTAAATTAAGTATAAAGGAGGCTTACATATTTTTTCAGAATAACTGAAACCCAGTAACTGTCAGTACTTGTGCAATTACTTTTGAGTATAATACTGGTAAAAGAATGAGAAGCACAGCAAGCACTTGGTAATCACATTCTATTTCATAAATATATTTTCACTTTACTGAAGTTAACATAATGTGTTATACTCAGAGAAAACTCTCTGCAAGTTACGTATACCACAAGGGCTGCACTTGAAAAATATAAGCCCACATGCACAGCACTGATTGGGGAAAGCACATGTTTTGAAACACAAATAAAAATTTGAAATGTATGCCACATTCTTGTTTGCACTCTTGCGTTTGTTTAAAAAAGCCCCAAAACAAAGTGTAATGGGATGGCAAAACCTTCACAGACCTTTACTAAGGACAAAAAGAAGGAATACCTTTTCGCCTTTTGYTCCAGCTGGACCAGGATGTCCAGGTCTTCCTGGGACTCCCTGCACAACACAGATTTGTGTAAGTTAGGAAGGAATGAAACACAGTATTTTTGCAGTGTAACTAAGTTTTTCAAACTTGTGCTTTTTGAAGGTTGTTTAAACTTCATTATGCTTCTCCTTCAGGTTTAAATATTTCTCTTCTCTTTGATACAAGAGCTGTGTTCTCCTCATAAGTCTGTTGAAGGGTAAAATTGTGTTTGCTGTTKCATTTTCACCTTGGCAAACTAACTGTGCTGACCCTAATTGGCACATCTTCACACTGCTCAAAATCATGTTACTKCTAAAATGCCTATTTATACATTCCACATTAAACTTCTCAAATGTGATACAATATTTGAAAGAAGTATTGGTATTGTCATGAAAGTTAGGAATGAATAATGATCAAACTAATGTGATTCCATCCCATATGAATAAAAGARTATTTTAAAAAGTTTCAGAGGACATTTGCCGGTAATACCAGCAATTTTAATGATATATTTCAGTGTCTTTAAATATTGTCAGCTTCTYCTCATAATTTGTCTTTGAATTGTGAAGCCAAGTAATTACTTGGTTTTGGCCCTAAGTTTCTTTTCTCAGAATGACTAGCTGGAATTATTTTTAGGTTTTATTACTAACATGACTCTAACTTGGGTAAAGATGCATAATTCACTGCAAGTTTGCATGCCAYAAATCATGTAACCACACAGATTCTCCAGTAATGCCAAAACTTCAAACCTATTTAAGTTATATAAACTTTGAGACCAGACAATTACATTGTATTTTCAATAATATCAACACCAGGATAATTTACTTTAGAAGAGTCAGAATGGGTAAAAATTTATTATTACTCTCTTAAAAGACAAAAGAAAGGACAAGAAATCAGGCAGTTGTAGCAATCCCTGCAGAAATCAATGAGATCAGAGGTGAYACCCCACACTTACGGATGGGCCACTGGGTCCTGATAGGCCTGGCAGTCCAGGAGCACCTTGAAGACCCTGGAGAATGAAAGAGCACATGTATAGTTTCTTTTCCTCTTACACCTCAAAAATAATTATATTCAGCATGTCCAGCAGTACTACAASTAAATGACATYGCATTTTCTTCTAAAACGTAGGCATTATTTTTAGTAAAGGCTGAAAAAAATACCCCACCAGGCAGCATCACTGAGCCAGGTTAAAAAGGCAACTTCTTGCTTGAGTGATAAACACCACTTGTCCTTCAACCTTTCACATTGTTAGAGTRTATTTTGTAAATATTTTTGTCTTTAGTTGTGCAGAGAAGAACAGATGTCTAGTTTTTTCCTCAGAGATTAATCTTCTATTTTCTTTTACTCAAAGGCATTTTTTTTTCTGGTGAGAAGACATTTACTCAGGCTTCTCAATATTACCTGATGCTATCTAAATGAAATTATGCTTTCTGCCTCATTTTTGATTTGTTTTTTTTTGATTATTGAACATGACAGTTTRCATAGCATTTAATAATCTGCTTTCCTGTTTGTATTCTATTTGATTGTCTGAAAATCAATGGACTCTGGTATCCACTTACTAAACATAACAGCTCTGCAACTCATTACAGTGGACAGAGGTGGGATTTGAGGCAAACCTGTCTGTCACTGGAAGTCTTTCCTCTGCCACACCAGGCTTAGGTACAATTTTAGACATGAAAGAGTCATGTACTAATGAGAGGTAATTGCTCCTGGTTCTCCCTATAATCACACAGGGAAACAGATAATTCTAAGCAGTGATTAATTTCCTTTGTCCATCCTCTGACAAGAAGAATCGCCTCAGAAAACCTTTATTTCTCATTTTAAATGCAGTGTTGAAGAAGGAATGGCTAAGGAAGCAGCCTAGAAAACCACAGAGGTCAGGAGCCCTGAAATAGGTGCTCTGAGGGAGAGACTGATGGAAAAGTTTGAAAAAGAAATAAATCAGCAAAAATATAGAGCTGGAGAGACATTGATTTTCCTTTCTTGCTCCTATACACAAAGGACATTGATTCACCTCTGCAGCTTTTCAGAGTGGCAAGATAACTGYTAATGTGCTCTCCGTGCCTTTCCAACTACTTTACTCTGATGGTACATTTACATRGAAAATTAATGTGAAGCCAAAGAAACATTTTCTCTAATTCTTACTACTGGTATTAAGAAAACCCTCCCCTGAAAAAAAGAGTGCTTTGAAAATGAAGATAACAAGTTCAACAAAGATTAAAGGGGGATTAGAAAGCAAGGAAGTTAATGAGCATATTTCAAAGGGCTAGAGGTGGGCTTCCCAATCTTTCATCTGATTTCTACCCATTCCAACTAAATAATAAAAATTAAAATTTTAAAATTTGTAAAAAAAATTCCATTTAAAACCTTTTCATACATGTTTCTGAAAAAATGATTCAGTTGCACCCTCGTGACATCATAATCAAAAGCTGCTGCAGAACATTGAAAATATCAGAGCTAAGGCAGCTCACCAGCTCTCAGATGGTGAAGAATCATTAGTAACTAACTTATTAACACAACATTAATGAAAAATGTACTATGAATTTTCCATAGACTCCTTTAAAAAATCTGCCAGGGAYAAACTTGCTGTTACTTTATTAGTTTTTAATTGCCTGGAATATCTTATTTGGGTCTCAGCCTTTTAACATTATTTGAATTGTCAAAATTGTTTTGCTAATGCCTCACCCTGCTAGGGGTAACTCCTAGAGGTGGCCTATAGGGCACATAATGTGCTACTTTCCCATTTATTCTTTAAGTAAAATTCTACATGAAATTTTAACTCCTCAGTTGACTAAGGCCACTTGGAAATTCATTTATTTATCCAGATTAATTTGCCTAATGGCTTCTGCTGTGGTGATGTTCTCTTTTGTTGCACAGATATCGCTTTTGAAATGTTAACTGCAAATATTTCAATTTAAAAGGAAAGCTGTACCACCTATTTAGGCTTTGGCATCACAAGTAATTTGGCTTTTTTCCCTTCTCCATAAAGACATAAAAATAACTCTAAAAATGCACCATACAATGCAAAATACTGTAAATACTTTAAATTCAGCCTATTTGAATATTTTCAGTTTCCACTTAATAGTAGCTGCTGCTATGACTGTTCCCATCAGATTATTTTGCTTAATGAAAGGTTTTCAAAAGTGAATTCYAAAGGGGAACCAACAAAATGAAAGCAAATATGTTACAAACATGAAGTATTTTTGGAAAATATTTGGCATTAGCCTATTTATTGCTCTATCCTATATCCTTAAAATTTAGCATGTAACRTATGTGAGGCTTTAAAATATACAAATCAGCAAAAATTCACAGATAAAAATGAAATAGATGTTATTTAATTGAATAATAACATTTAATCTTGTTGAAAAATCAGAATCAAGAGCCATTTATGCAATACATGACTATCTCAGCAATTTAAAATAACTAAATAACATTCTGTGCATTTCATTTTCAGTCTCGGTCTTTTCTTAGGTTCAGGTAAGGATGCAACCTCTGTAGAAATGAAGTAATTTTACCTCATCRCCCTTCTCTCCTGCAAGCCCAGGAAATCCACGTTCACCTTTGCTTCCCTATGAAAACATAACATTCAAGCAAATATTTTGTATTAGAGAACAATGAATTTCATGCTCTGTAGGGCATTTTATGACCCACGTTTTATATATGCTAGCACGATGCCCTTATATCCACAGTGCCTATAACCTGAAAACAAAGGCTCAAAACTATCAGAAAACTTTAWAATGCACCTCCCAGCAAGGTGAAARGAAATGAGTCGTTTGTACCTCGGAGGCAAATTGGTCAAAAGGCCTGATGGAGACATTAACCCCAAAGAGCTTTAATGCTTGCTGAAATGGAGAAAGCTCACTTCCATGGGATTAGGCTCAATGACAGGAGATATCTGTGTGCTGAACCATGTGGTTTTTGATCCAGTTTCAGTGAATCAGGATTTTGATCGATGTCAGTGACACTTCAAGCCCCAGGGAAATGGCTGTGTCACTCCCATGGGAACAGGGTGCAAAGGGACAGGGTGCTCCAGCTGTTCCACACTCGAGGGAGACACAGGAAATTTGCTTCTTCACTGCAGGATTTTCATTTGACTGGCTCACCTAAAATGAGCCTATTGACAGCAATGCACTACTGGGCAGTCAGACCTGTCAGCTTCCATGGAGGCATGACACAGAAAAGCTATCTGGGCCTGGACTCAGCTCAGGCTATTCTGCTCACTTAACCTGGAGAAAAGGCAAACTGACACATGAAGAAGCCTGAAACAAAAAAAATCATTTCAACCTCTAGGCTGCTCAGATGCCACAGGGATATGGATCAGACAAAAAAGTCAGGATTGGCAAAGGTAAGAACCTGGCCTTTGCTCTTAACAAGAAATGAAGAAGTGAAAAGCAGTCTCTTCAAAACTTACCTTTGGTCCTTCTCTGCCAGGAATGCCTGGAGGACCTCTTGTGCCAGGATCACCCTGAGGCAGATAGAAAGCAAAGTGACAAATATTCTTATGACATAGATCTGATCCATGCAGACTGACAGATGCACATGGTTTCCTTCCTGCCATTCTGACAATCCCTTCACTTTACCCCAAAGCCTTCTGTTCAGCCCTTGCTTGATTATGAGCCATATACTTGTTCAAAGAGTGTTCCTCGTTTTCCTCCCCATCTCTCATACTCTCTATTCAAACCATGCTAACATGGATAACTTCATTTTGGATATTCCCAGATACAGCTCTGCTTAGGTTTCAGCAGACCATCTTCCTTTTAAGGACTAGGGAGAGATGAAGGCTATTTGTTACCCTCTCCAGTTTCAAATCTATAGTTATTTAAAAGTAAATGATCCCGGCTTTGCTGAGAGAAGCACTTGCCAGCTAAATTACAATCACACAGAACTGCAAACCACACAACACAGAGAAATGAAGAATGAAACATAAAGAATCAGCAAAGAGGTAGAAGAGCATGTACASCAGAGAGACAGTCAAATTACAAACAGAAAGACCTAAAACAAATCAGATTTGGAAATGAGAAAGTCAATAAACCCTAAGTACATGTATTAATAAAGGACAGTAGAAATGATGTGTGCTTTTCATACCGAAATCCTCCAGAGCACAATTTTAATTTCAGGATATTGCGGAACACTTCAAATTTCATTATTTTTCAAAATAATATCTTAGACATTCTGGACTATTTTCCCATTTGGTATATTATTGAAATYAATGCTACACAGTAAAGTGAACAAGGTATATTTGTAGCAATTCATACTGTGGACTGGGTGTGCTGARTAGGCACTTGCTGCCTACTATCTCACATGCTGTTCATACAATATTTTGCAAAATTTCCAAAAAATACATTTCTTGAGTATTTTTAAAAAACAAAACAAAAATCAGCAAAAACCACAATTCTGTTTTAGGTCAGCCCTCTAAGTCAGAATCGAACCTAGAGAAGCTTTTAGGTGCACAGTTTTGTTTAAAAAGAAAAAAAAAAAAAGGTATTTAATCGCTGATAAAGTTTACCTTCAGTATAGCACCCATGTCTCCCACAAGTGGAAGTGCAACCTGAAATTAAAAAAGACAGCTGARGTTAATATTTTACATAGCACTATTACTTCTGATATGTACTCATGTCTTCTAAACTTTATATTGTTACACATAGAGCTGATCATCTATGTATTGGTTGAAGTTATTTTCTAATAAATACTCACTCAAAAGAAAAAACATGTTTTCAAATATGATTAAATATCACAGTCTATCCAACCTCTCAACTGTAATTATTCACCACAATTTCAATGAAGTTTCCCAAACCACGACAACAGCATAACTCCTGAACATACTAACATTGTTGTTTTTATAGCATATTGGCAGCAACTTGATGTTACTGGAATGTCTCACATTTTCACMTGATTATTTTCAATTGTTTTTCTCCTCCTTCCTCCTAGGTTTTGACTCTACTCTCAGCTGCAGCACAAATTCTGGAGATGCCAAAGCTAACTTGACCAAAGTAGCTCAGATACTGGAAATAATCCAGCTACACCAACACAAACAACATATACAGTATTTTTTCCTGCCAATAAACATTAATAATTAGGGTTTATCTCCTCGGTCTCTGTTACATTGCTGCCAATACTAAAGCTGACTCTTTTAAAGATCRATGAATCTACACTGTACTGAAGCACATCCCAGATTTCCAATATCTGCCATTAAACTTTTATTTCAAGACCCCCTGTAAAAAACTAATTGCACAGAACCCTAAGCCCTCAGTGTGAAAGGGTCCTAACCCCAGCTGCAAAGAGCACACGTGTACAAGAGCAAGCTGACTGCCTTTTTGCATTCCAGCCTGACTGCAAATATCCTCTGTCGAGCCCTAACTCTGTGTGCTGATCTCTGAAGAAGTGTGTGATATATCCTAGAACTTTGAAAATGTTAAAWTGGCCTTAATTCTCCAGATTCACTCTTGCTTGCTACATTTTCCTTCAAAAAAAGTTCTTTCCAAAGAGAAGAATATTTCAAGAGAGCAAAAGGCAATAATTATCCAGTTTGTGAGTTTTACCATTTAGACCTGTCTGTTTAATAGCAGCATCTAATATTTTACTTACATTTAGTTTACAATGCACTGTGCCTTCCAGACATATTCTACTTATGGATTTTGGTTTTCCTTATTAAGCACTTTATGCTCATCTGTCTCATGTTAAATCTTGTTGACTTCAGAAAGCCTCTGAATTTTGATTGTATCTTCAAAAAGTCAGCAATCTTTCCCACTCCAATTTCAGAGTTTGTGTATACTTTCCCAAATCAAATTATATCACTGACAAGAACTGARAATGGGACAGACCTCTCTTTCCAAGTTTGATCATTATCTATTGAGAGATGCTCAGATCCATGATTTTTGATAAGCATTAACTACTTGGTATCTAATTCTAAGCATTTTTTTCTTGCTTAAAGAAACATCATGAAGACAGTCTCAGTTTTATCGAAGCCAAGGTATATAACATGACTGTTTTCCTGTCTTTTCCAAGAAAGTATTTTGACTTTATCTTCATTTTACTGGTTCTTCTAGATTTGCTATGCCATCYCACCTCATATAAATCTAAAATATTTGCACCAAAGCAAATGCAAAAGCTTGCCCTGTATACGTACAGGATCACCTGGAGGGCCTGGTAGTCCTGGTTTTCCATCTCTTCCTGGAGTGCCCTAGAAACAAATATAAAACTTGATGGCATTAAATCAATGACGAGGGACATACTACTTTTTCTTGTATATAGAGAAAACTGTCACTTACATTAATACCAGGGGTACCTGGAGTTCCTGGTAATCCTGGAGGTCCCCTAGGGCCCTAAGRGTACAAAAGGTCATTTAGGATGTAAAAATATTATTCCTGTAAAATTCTTGAACTAAATTAATCTTTTTGTATGGAAGAARACTTATACTCTACCTGCACACCTGCTGATCCAGTTGGACCTTTGGGACCCTGCAAGAAAACTCCAAAGTTTCACTTTCTGGGATAAGGGAGATGAAGTTCATTAAAAAATGATGAAYGTAGGATATTTATGCAGTTTTCACTTCAAAAAACACTTGTTCTAAAGTGTGGCTTTAAATCCAAATCTAATTTTGCCATAATTAGAGACCTCAAGACTTCGCGGATAYTCTTTTTTAAGCAATTCCAAAAATTAATAATCTTTGGATGGTGGTGAAACTTGATATTTAGCAAGGAGAGCCATAAAAAAAGCTAATGAGCAGTTGAATAAAACCCGATTTTTATAGATACACATAGGTAACTTCTAAAATTCAGATTTGAAAATATTGTAGCTGAAAAAATTATCTTAAGGATTATTATTTTAGATTAAGAACTGAGGGTCAATATCTAGTCACCTTTCAAAAACACTTTCTTTTTTTCCCAGGGTACTGTCCCTAAACTGAATTGTATCAGCTGATACACTTTGTTCAACTGAAGAGAGATTGCCTCAGTCACTGGAGTAAAAGTCTTGTAATAATGTACCACCTACAAGGTACACTGTCAGTATCAGCAAATTTTTTTTACTGAATACTCTGAAGACACTGCAGATGGCTTTATTTAAAGGCATTAAAAAGCAAGAAACCTGGGACACAAGCTGAATAATCAAAACAGTTATTGCTGTACAAATTATTCACCATCAATGCTTTAGATGTCTGCATAAACTCGCTTCATGTTTGAATTTGAGCTGCACAGCAACCCTTGAAGCAATCTGGGAGTTGGGAGTCAAGCCAGAAGAGAGTTCAAGGCATGGCTTTTAATGATGCTTTGTTTGCTTATTGCAGTTTGTCAATGATGCACAGTGRGAAGCCCAAATTGTGGGTGTTGATTTACTTACTGGTGATCCCTGAATGCCTATTCCAGGGGGCCCCATCTCCCCAGGTGCTCCCTGCACACCAGGCAGTCCTCTTTCTCCCTGTGAAAGGTACAAGGCTTTCCATCACAACAGCTCTGGAAAGATRAACTACCATATCAGCTTTTAGAAAATATTTTTAGAAACAGAAATAAAGTATTTTGTATACCTTTGGTCCCCTTGGACCTGGGTTTCCAGGAACACCAGTGGGACCCTAAAAGAAACCCAAAACAAAATAAAACAAARAAAGAAAAAAAAGTTTTGAAATCCAAGAGACTAGCTGCATTTTATTGCCAAAATTAGCCATCCTTTAGAAATACATTATGACAAGTTTACCTGTATTCCCTGTTAGTGTCAGTGTCACTAGGATCATGTGTGAGTCTTGCACYGTTTCTAGACTATATTTTAATGCACTTATAATACCACTGAAACATACGTTTCTATTTTGAAATTACAGTTAAAATACTTGCTTTGTGGCTTTAAACTGGAAATGAGCAGATGTACATTGGGTATTAGGAAGAAATTCTTTACTGTGAGGGTGGTGAGGCCTGGAACAGGTTACTMAGAGAAGTTGTGGATTCCCCACCCCTGGAAGTGTTCATGACCAGGCTGGATGGGGCTTTGAGCAACTTGCTCTAGTGGGAAGTGTTCCTGTCCATGGCAAGGGGTTGGAGCTGGATGATCTTTAACTTATCTTCCAACCCAAGCCATTCTATGATTTCTTTCATTGCAGAGTGAGAATCCTTTCACAGTTCCCCCTGCAGGAAATAAAATCAGATTATGAACCTTCCAGATTATGAACTTACTGGTGTTCCAGGCACACTTGGTCCAGGAGGCCCCATATCACCTTTTGGACCTGGATGTCCAGGTGGTCCCATAATTCCACCAGGATCACCCTACAAAATAAATCTGAATCACTAATTGAAATGTGAGAATTTTCCCCTATGAAAAAGCTCTAAATATTATCAAGACATGAATACTATCATAGAAAGTGACAGTAGTTTGAGAAGATATGGAGAAGAAAAAAAAGCCCCTGATATTTTCCTTCAAAAAGTTTCCRAAYTGGAGACAYGGACCATMTAACCATTAAYAGTAACCAGTATCCTCTTGGTTTTCCATGCTTGCAATTCAGCTGATCCMCATTTCTGGTTCCCCAGGCCCCTAATATGCTGGTTGTCATTAAACCCTGCCAACTAATTCATAGCAACAGCTGGACCAACAGCTGTCTCTCCCCAGCAATCAACCACTGGTGCTAAACCTGGGGTCTTCAGTGTGTTCCTTTTCACACCTCTGTTCCCTATTTCAGCACAGGCAGTGTCTCTTGCACCGTATCTCTAAGCTCCTGCTGCTGACACAGTGAATTTGTGCCTTTTATTATGCTGTCCTCTTGCYTTTTGCAGGCTCCTGCAACAYCCTCTGTGATTYTTTCTKAATCCTCTACTTCCCATTTTGCAAGAGGAGTACATTTTTGTCCTTGTTCTAGTTGTTTTCTTTGCCTTTCGTTCAGTTCACTTCTTCAAACTGGATTTTACTGGTTTCCCCTGTACCCCACAATGCATAAATATCACAACACATCACACAGCTCAGAGCACACCTGTACATCCTCTTTTCTCTCCTTCTTTACATTCAGTACATACACACATAACTTTTAGCTCTTGTTGATGCAGCTGAATTCTAAGGGATTTCWACACAGCAAAATACAATGTCCTAAAGAAATCCAGCTTTGGCTCACATCTGAGACARTGTAGCTGCCCTAGAGCTCTGCCAAGATGAACAGGTCTCACTGTGAAGTGGGATTTTACACATTAGTCTGGGTAGGAAACCACACTGAAATGCTTGTTCTGTAGTCAGGACATTTCTGCACTGTACAGATTCAATGTAAGGTGCAGTCCAACCTCCTTGAAATATTACTTAAATTATTAATCTAAAGAGCAAATGGGTTGCCAAACTGGCCCAAAGCATCTCCAAATGCAGAGATGTTTCTCCTTCAAGACACAGGGGGTTGCTGCTGGTACATTTTAAAATCTCTTCATACAGCAGCCACACAGATACACTACTGAAGGATGGAAGGTTACTGTTGAAGTGACAATTTAAAATGCTTTAACATATCAAGTTTAATTAAAACACTTWAAACATACCTTGTCTCCTTTAATTCCTGGGTTTCCTGGTACCCCATGCTCTCCTGGTACGCCCTGGAATTAATAAAAACAGAACTGTACATTTTTATAGCCATTCCCTTAATGGTTATATAAAAATACAGATGCAAATGAGTTTACACTGGATCATTTGCTTTGCATTAGTATTGACCCCAAATGTTAAAGACTGTAAGTTAATGAATGCATCTTTAATTAAATATATGAATCATTTTTCTTTAAGTGAAAATGCAATCATCAAGATTATTTTTCTAGACCCTCTCATGGCAGAATGGCAGAGACCAAAAGGTTTATTTCTTGTTTCAAAGTAATTCCAAGTSTTGAAAATAATTTTTTCAAGCAAGGCAGTAGCACATAAAAACTTGAATTTTAAGTAAGTGTCTCATCTTTCTTGCCCATGGAGGGCTGTATGATTTCCTGTACTAGTTAATTATTCAAACTGGTATCTTAAAAGCCTCAACAAATTCCTACTCCTTCACATTATTTAATCCAACAAATCCTTTTAAATATTTTARATATGTAATGGACAGTCAAACATTTTCAGTAAATAAAGTGGATTCCAGCCTTTCTTTTGTTTAAATCTTCTCATCTTTCGCATTTTGATTTTAACTTCAGTATTTTTCCTTGTTCTTTTCATGAAGGATTTTTATAAATGCAGAGAACTAAAGACAAATGAAAAAGATTAAAATCTAAATAGAAGCTATTTAAATAAGTAAGGCTTAATTAAGTTCTCTTACTATACTGTAACAAATACAGTAAACTTTTTCCATGACCCTTCAATGTTATTCAACCAAATATTTAGTCGAGTGYTTTATTAAGAATACCAGAAATTTTCACAGTAAAGGACAAAATTGCTCAAGCTGAACAGTAAAATCTAAGTATTAAACTTTAGCTGGACTGAAAAATGAACTTTCTAAGAAAAAGACAGGGAAACACATACTGTTTTAATTTTCCTTCACAGCGTAAAACAGTTTTGTGAACACTGACATATGACAGATGACAAYATTTTCATGCCAGCAGTGATTGTTTAGCAGCTGTGTTTGCTTTCTCTGCTGCCTTCTGTACTTAATACAGGCAGAMAGCTACTTGTTTCACCCAGTCATCCAAACTAAAAGCATAAGAAAGAAAAAAAAGTATCCTAATGAAGAATATTCTGCTTATACCAACAGAAAGTCATTATAAAAAATGGAAATTTAAATTGTCTCATCATGACCAACCCTATCCACTTTGGATRTTGGTATAAAATACATACAGTCTCTTTTCTCTCTCTTCTTTCCTAAGGATTTATCAATCTTTTTTTGTTTGGTTGGACCAAGCTCAAGTGGTTTCTTAGGAAAAAAAAATTAAGTAATTCTTATCTGCTAGATGATTCTCCAATGATGTATATTAATGTAAAACAATTTTCAAACTTCCATAATTGTCAACATACTGCATTAAATGAATTTTTAGTCTATAATGTTTCATCTTTAGATGATAAAACAAGGAGCTTGCAGGTAAGCACAGTGTCTCTATAATATATTTAAATTTATGTTTTTACACACTAGAATTTTATGCACAAGTAAGAGTTCAGGATTATCTACATCTAGGACTTACATATATTATATCTAGTATTTATCTGTTCATAATGCCACTTGATCAAAGATCCATCAGAACAGCAGTTTCAAAAGAGACAATTCCCACTCAAGTGGGATGATGGCAACACAAGCAAGAGAGAAATGCTGTATTTTGTTATCTTTCACAGTAGGATTGGTGATTTATATRAAAAGAAACACAGCAGATGAGGCTTACAAACCAAGTAAGGTAAATCTAAGATAGGTAAATCAGACATAATTGAAAAAAAAATGGGCCTCAGCTGAGTAGGAAAATAAGATACAAAGAAATGGTCAATAAATGACACAGTATAAAAAGGCTTCATGCAGATTTAAATGCTTGTGGTTTTTTCCCTTGTCAAGAGCTGAAGATGCTGAACTCCACTGGTCACCTGGCTTATATCCCTCAGACTTTTAACAGGCCAACAATAAAAAGTCTGCCAGCTGTGTACCACTCAGAAGGTATTTTAATATTAATAAGTTATATGACTTAAAAGTCTGTTCAAATTAAGAGTTCTCTTCCACAATGTAGTCTCAGAGCACGTGTGGAAGCGCCTAAGACAAAATGCAGCAACACCAACCTCTAGATGCTTCTGYTGGTAGAGAAAAGATAAAACCAAACCCACACACACAGAGCAATGATTGAAACCCCAGTCCTTTTCAAGTGAGTGGCTGAACTGCTAGGCTAAAGCTAAGCTTTTTATTGTCTGCTTTTCTTGACCTACTTCTCGGATTGAACCACTTTTTCCTCCAAGATGCTMTTTAAAAGCCATTTTATGGTTCACGGAAGAAGGGAAGTACAAGAACCAAGATGAAGGGGTAAGTGCTCCATGTGACATCAGTAGTGTTGTGGACTGAGGCACGGGGAATTAGACAGAACATTTTTTTTTTCACACTGGAAGAGGAATTGTGCCATAGTTTGGAAGGGAGACAGGCAGCCACRGCCAGAAGACTCTTCTGCTATATGTGGGTGTCAAATCAAATGCACAGGGCACTTTCAAGCTGAGTATAACAGTGATTAGCAGTTTAAGGTGTTTCCTGGAGAAGCCAGACTGGATTGACATTTCACCCGTGCTCTTCCTGCCCAGAGGCACCAGGGTTAAAGGTGTGCTGGATTTTGGGAGAGGTGCCTACCAGTTTGAGAAACCTCAACCAGCCAGCAGACACATCAGCCTCCTGACCAGTGGCACAATTGTTACAGGTACAATAAAATCCTCATGAAGGAGACTCCCATCACCTTGACAACCCCTAATCAGCTGGCAGACCTGAATGTGGGGCACCCAAAAATGCTGTAACTACAGGAACATTCAGACTCTGCTGAGACACAGCACTGCTTGACACTCCCAACCCAGCAGTTTAGCAYCCACAAGCACACTGCACCTCTGGGGAGCCTTGGCCAGCAACCTCTGTGCCTGGCAACTCTGAGCAGCTGCACAACACAAACCAAAACACCTTGCTGCTCAACCAACCCAGCTCAACAATTGCCCTGCTGGAACGGGAAGTCAGGACCCAATGAACAGAATGATAACAGGGCAGTGAGGGAGAGATAATCCACAAGGGTAAAATCTCCCTTTTCAGTGGCTTTTAAATGAACCCTAATATCCAGATCCACTTCAGGCTGTCAAACCCTGTCAGAAGCAGGACATTCATGGTTTGCTGAAACTCATGATAATGCCTGTTGAGGGAGGCATCCCATCCTAAAGTGCTTCATCACCTTATTGCTACAGCACCACCCACAAATGGAGCACCTATGGGAGTTACTGTGGCACTGCAGCATTGGCTAACTGCTCACACAGCACACTGCTACAGCTGGAGAAATGGAAAAATACATACAACTTCTCCTGGCAGTCCCCTGGGTCCAACAGGTCCTGGAGGGCCTTGCAGTCCCTGTGAAATGATAAAAAACACACCTGAGGTAAGAGTTAATATACTGTAATATGGTGCAAAGTATTCTTATATATAAATTTATTAAAATATCCGGCATTAAGAATTACCTTCCACATGGAGTAGGAAGTACAGAGTTTGCTCATTCTCCCTTACTCGAATGTTAAGTTCAAAAAGTTGTGTGGACTGGTATGTACACAAAGTATGTACACAAAGCAAATACAAGTAAATACAAAGGGAATACCTAAAAGGAGAGACATAAGAAAAGAATAAATCAAAATTTCAAGAAAAATTTTTAAGACAATTATTTTGTGGCTTCCATAGCTATGTTCATTCTCACAGGGCCTTCTTTTCATGGTCTAAAATCCAGATACTATCCAACACGAATAGTGTTGGGCAGCAGCCAGATTTAACAGTTTCTAATTCTACATTTATTTGGTACAATTGAAGGCATCCTGAGAGATGCTTAAGAATGCTTGTGCTTCAGTTACTTTCTTCACAGAATCACACAAATGGCACAATGGGTAAAGCTGGAAGGGACCACAGTGGGTTAGCTAGCTCAACTTTTCCTGCTCAAGCATTCTAGATCACATTGCAGAATCTCTTCAATGTCTCCCGTGAGGGAGACTCCACAAACTCCCTGGGCTATCTGTTCCAATGCTCAGTCACCTGCTCAGTCACCTTCCTCACATTCAGGCGGAACTTCCTGTGCACCAGTTTCTGCCCATTGCCTCTTGTCCTTTTTAGCACCACTGAGAAGAGCCTGGAAATCTCAACACCACTGTTTAGATTCTTACAGACATTGATGAGGTCCCCTTCCAGTTGACTTTTCTCAATCCTGAACAGGTCCAGCTCCTGCAGCCTTTCCTTGTAAGAGAGATGCTCCAGCTCCTACTGGACCCACTCCAGGAGCTCCATGTCCCTCTTATCCTGAGGAGCCCAGAACTGGACACAGAACTCCAGATGTGCCTCACCAGGGCTGAGTAGAAGGGAAGGTTCACCTCCCTCGACCTGCTGGCAATGCTCTTCCTAATATAACCCAGGACACCATTGGCCTTCTTGGCCACAAGAGCACTGCTGGCTCTCAGACAGCTTGTTGTCCACCAGGACCCCCAGCTCCTTCTCCACAGAGCTGCTTTCCAGCTGGCTGYYCCCTKGGGTTMTTCCTCCCCAGRTGCAAGACCCTGCTCTTCYSTTTGTTGAGTTTCAGACAGKTCTCCAACCTGTTGAAGACCTCCTGAAGGGCTGCACGGCCCCATGAGGAATTCACCACTTGTCCCAGCTTTGTGTGTAGGGAACTTGCTGARGAGGGCTCTCCTCCTTTTTGCAAGTCCTTGATGAACAMATTAAACAATACTGGGCCCAGCATTGAGCCCTGGTGGACACCACCAGTGACAGGCCTCCAACTGGACCCCATGTCACCAATTACGACCCTGTGGGGTCTGCACTTCAACCAGCTCTCAGCCACCTCACTGTCCACTCACCCAGTCCACACCTCCTGAGTTTGCCCACGAGGACAGACTCAAAGCAAAATGATGACTGCTTTGACATTACAAGCTGTCTCACAGGATTAAACAAAGGAACTGCTAAGGTACTGACACAAGTTACTCCTTGCCTCACGGATGGAGGTATTGGCACTGGTTACTCCTTTGCCTCACTGATGGATAAAGACAATACACCCAGCTACCGGGAAATACGTACTTCCAAAATGGGTGATTGTMTTTTTAAGTGACAAAAATCATACTTGAGCATTGCTTAAATATTCCTTTCTGAGTAACAGAGAGCAACAAGAACTTTATGTAAAATGTAAAGTTTATGTAAAATAGCCATGATCCAAGCATAAGCTTTTGATATAAACTACTTGTGTTCTTTGACCATTACTACTAGCTAAAGAGTTGATAGCAGCAGAGTCCTCTTACATAACAGGATAGAATGCAGTTACCTTTAGTCCTGGACTTCCAATAAGGCCAGGTGGTCCAGGGTCTCCCATTTCACCCTAATGATATTGTTTGAGAAAACAAAAAAAAGCTGTTTACTGCTGTGTCTCCCAGTCTCAGCTATGCACACTGGCAGTGTATATAGCGTGTGTAAGTAAAAAAATACCTTATTTCCTTTTGATCCTTCCATTCCAGGCTCTCCCTGAAAATAGTAAATACAACTGTAAGAAGTTAGAAATTTAACTAAGATCAACCAAGAGTTTAATCTGGTATTTTAAAATATTGTAAATACAGTTGGCAAACCTAAATATTGAAAAAACATCAAGAATTTCTGATGCCTTGTGCATACTCTGAAAGTCATTCCTCTTGCAACCTGATTTTGTTGGCAGGTTTTCCCAATGCTTTAAAGGAAAAATGTTTGAAAACACTGCATTTGCTTAAGAGCTTTCCCASACAAAAGCCTATTCTTCACCATTACATCTCTTCTGGTGCACAGYAGTCACCTCCAAAACCACACATTATTACAATAGAACATATTACAATATGTTAATCACAAATATCTGAGCAACCTTGAGTTTTAGATTAAAAAACATAACCAGCTTTTGTCAGATATTGTAAGAGAAGAYAAGATTAATTAAAAATAACTAACAWAGGTAAAGAAACTCTTACAGAATGAGTGTTCTGAAAACACAAAGAGTGTTCTCAAATAACAAAGAAGTTCAGCACACATAAAATGGCTATATGAGAACAGCCTGATGTTAGATGACACACTGGTGGCATCAAAACAGTACAGCTCAGGCCACATAAAACTTTGTGAGAAAGCTGAAAAAAGAACCTTCAGGGAATAAAAAAAAAAAAAGGCATGTGCTTTAAACTCAGTTCATGGACCATACCAGCAACAGAGATGCTGAGGAACAGGGCATCTCTTATTTATAACCCATGAGACCTTGATGCACATGTAAGGAGACATACATATGCTATCCCACATAACCCTTGAATCTAATGAATATGTACAAAGAAAAGAATTACAGAATGAATACAGTATGAAAGTTATCCCAAATGTAMATTATTCACATCAGTTCAAAACATGCTATACTTACTGGATCTCCCTTATCACCTTTCTCAGAAGGTTCTCCCTAAGGAAATATAGGGAAAAGGTTAACACAGATTTTAAATAATATGGTAAATAGTCCACATTTCTGGTTTAGATGGAGAGTCCTGGAAAAAGTGTCTATTTAAATCTGTCAAAAATACAAATATATGGGCTACAAAAGTTTACTTGAGGGATGATGTTGATTTAATTCCAAGACCATGACACCTGTGATCCTTTTAAGCAGGAGCACAAGGGAGGATCAAGAACAGAACTAAAGAGAGTGATCCTGCATCCAAATCTGAACAATTCTTAAACACAAGTGCTTTATAACACACAAAATCATAAACCTATGATACCAACAGAGCAAAAATAACATTTCTGTCTGCATGAAAACTATTCATACACAAGGATATGACCAAAAAAAACCAACTGAAAGCCTCACAGCTGAATGGCAAAACACTTGTTAATCAGTAKATGGAGAACTGTACATCACACGTTCCAAGAAAAGAAAAATACACACCTGTTCCTCAGTAACAACCCCATCTCAATCATACTGGAAAATTTACGCTTAAACTAAAAGACACTMAATTAGAATGTTTATTTGTAAATTTTAATCATTTAAAGATTTATGTTTTTTCATATAGATACTGAAGACGGCATTAGTAACTTGAAAAAGTATTACTGGCACCTAATTCATGAGGCAGTCTCTGATGATAAATTTATATAAAATAATTTTGAACKGGTATTATGTAAAAGTCTGAATGTTTTGAAAGCTAAGGACTTTGTGAGCTGGTAGAACAGGGAAATTTACTTGCATATGCATATACCATCACCCCCCAATGAGGGGCTTGAATAAAGTGCTAAGGACTTTTAGAGATTGACAAGTTCTCCAAATATATTTTCTTGATCCCCTCTGTATTTTACAAGATTTCATTCATAGTGAGTACATTTAGACAACTTCTAGTATAATACATGAGTACAGAGGTGAGGAATTGACTTACCTTTTCTCCTTTTGCTCCAGTCATTCCCAATTCTCCTTTTGGGCCCTTTTAACAAAATTAATTGTATTCAGAATGTTTCTATTCTGGTAAATGTCAACAAACCCCTCCTCTTCTTTAACTGTACTTTGTTCTGTGTGGGCCACAAAATCTTAACTATTACAATGGAAATCAAGCTTCAAACATCTGCAAATGAATTTAAATGACCATTTTCTACAGCAGATCTGCAGGCTTCTCAATAAAATCTTGTCAATCCGTCCCAAATCCAGAGCACTTGTCTGTTCTCTTACAAGTTTGAAAGGCATGCAATTGTTAAAATATCGGTCAGCTATTTACACAGGACAGATTACTACAAACCATATAGTGCCATATGGTGTGGATTCAGAATTTGACTTCCATTTAATTTTTGGAGGCTAAAATTGTAGAGAAATTTTGCAATTATATTGCTGCTACAGATAAACTGGTTTAAATATTAGTTATTTACTATTCGGCATATTTTTTGAATGTCAACTTTTTCACTCTTTCCCACTTAACTGGCAGYGCAGCTCATTTGACTCCTCAGACAGCATTATAGAAACCAYACATAAYTCTTTCAGCATTTTCCTTTTCTATYTATACTAGAGGAGAAAGGATCAGATGCTGCTGTAGCAGGACAGTGCAATGAGCTGGCTATTGGACCACACAGATCAAAGTGACAGTCATCTCAAAAASCTATTCCCTCAAAGCCCATTGTGATAAATCAAAGACACTGTGTTAAGGGTGGTAGAGACAGGTTAGATGGGCACTATGAAACATCTCCAAATTCATCCCAAATGCTTACAATGTCTCCCTTCTGGCCTTTAAGTCCAGGAGTCTCAAGTAATTCTAGTAGTTTTGTATCACTCTGGAAAGAAAAATCACCACAAAGATCAGAAAACAGAAAATGTCACCATTTACTTACAGTAATTTATTTATTTACAGTAAAAATTTCTTGTAATTTACCAGCTTCTGTAAATTCAGAAATCCTAATTTACTACTAGAAAGGCATAATAAATGCCTATGCAGTACAGCTAGGTAGTGTTTTGCAGAACACATCCTTTATCATGCATATACACTCTTGCCAGACTAGCAGAAGATGAACAAAAGCATAAAAAGGAAATGTCTGTGTTGAATATTGCTATGCAAATCTGTGATTTTTTAAGCTCAACACAAAGAACATATTTTTATGCTCATTGTTACAATACATTTCTCAATTATGTTAGAAAAGAACAAAAAAACCCAAGAGCTTTTTACTTTGGAACAGCATGAAATGCAAAAAAAAAAGGCAGAGCTAATTTAAGTCTACCACAATAGTAAGACAAAGGAGAGGGATTGAACACGATCAACAGGCTCCTCACAGTGCTCTTCAGACAAGCCAGAGAGATTAAAGGAGCAGGGGTTCAGGTTGTATACTTGCTCAGATGATATTGCACTGCTTTTATTTACTCTTCTGTACAAGGTAAAGACACAATAAAATACAAAGCAAACCCTTTCCTTTTTACAAAGTCACACTCAGACTTCCTAAGGGGAACATGTTTTTTTTTGTAACAACAAAGGAAAAAGCAACAAAAACCCAATGAGCAGAAAAACGAGCTCCAGTCTAGACCCAAGGAATCCAAGTCCTAGAACMTGTGCCATTGGGCTGAGCAGGAACCCTGAGCTGGCCAAATCCCCTMGCCATGTTCCAGCTTCCATATCTCTAAGATGGGAAAACATCCTGATGAATAAAAGTGCCATTTACAACTTTATCTTAATTGTTGCATAAGTCTAAACATATATATTGAATAAAATCAAGAATTATTTTAGAAATTCTGATTTCCTGATGGATTTTAGGGGTCTTTAGGGTTTGTACCACTGTTAACACACTAATTATCAAAACCAGCTTCAGAGCAAGAGGCAGATACCCAGACACCTGAGTATTGAGGAGAATAGTTGACTTCCAGTGGACAGAGAACAATCCAGGTGTCTGTTAGTATGAGTACACTACAAATTATGATTTATAATCAGTTGGGGATTTTTTCATGCATACATAGAGGAAAAAAATTAAAAAAGAAAAAGGCTATTAGACCAAATACCCACCTTTATGGCCTTTGCATTTTTATAGGTAACTTCCTCTTTACAACCAAATGTAAATGAAATATACCAAAGCAAAAAAAAAAACCCAAAAACCAAAACAAAACAAAAAAACCAAGAAGAAAACCTTACAAAGTTAATAATGAGTTATTCCAGAATAATCTAAAATTRCTATGAATTATAATGATCTTAAAACATTTCCTGAACAGATTGTGCTGTAGTTTCAATTTCTTTGTGTTGTGGTTTACTTTTTATTTTTATGCGTTGGAGAACATTTTAGATTAAACTGATCTGTACAGCCTTTCCAAAGATGTTTAGAAATAAGTTTGGCTAAATGACTTAATATCCATGTATGGAAAATTGGTAAGTAAGAAGGCTGACAGAGGCCTTGAGAACCCAAGTAAAGGATAACACAGGACTGAGAGCACATAAATGCAAATCATGAGCCATCATTTATCCATCTCTGAAGGAATGTAACACACAGCWCAGGGCAGAACTGGTTTCTTGGCAAAAGGAAGAGAACAAAATGCATTTATCGAACACATGCAAAGCATCTCATTTACGCTGRAAGCACAAAAGGCATAACAAGAAGRAATATAAAAATAGTCYCASGCYTTGYAGGAGCAGGCACAAAGGAAGAATGAGGGAAGCAACGCTCCAGCACTGTCTCCCACCCTATTAAGGATCAATGCTACCACTTATCCTCAGCAGGTTCCTCTCACCTTCATTAAACAAAGACTGCTGATCTTGGTTTGCTGTTCAGCACAATTTGCTGCTGCAATCAGCAATTGTATTTATAGTGCTCTCTTTCACTGTATACATRGATCAAGTAAATTATGCTTTTAAAGGCTTGCACTCCAGCCTCCTTAAAGATCACTCTGATAAAGTGATTGATGCTGACCCAGAAAAGTCCTGGTTGCAATAAATTATTTAAATWCATTGTGCAATTACCAATACTTATCACAGCCATCAGAAATTACAATTCACAAATCAAAAAAATTGAAAATATTCTGCTAAGAAAAAGAAATTAGAGAAACAGAAAAAAATGTTAYTAATTATGATGTGTCTTAAGAGCCACTACATTTCTTGGTATCAGTTTCTCATGGTTCCTAGAAATACCCACACGAAGAAGCCACACTAATATCTTCAGGGAAAAAAAAAGGTGTTAAAATACCTATAACAATTAAAATGTGGCCAATATGTAAACACTTTAAACACCAAACCAAAATAAGACCTTGTGAGATTCTTGAGAACATAGAAAAAATGATGCAAAATGACACAACCATTCCCTGTGCTAAAAGGAATCTCAAAAACCTCCAAATATCACTCAAATACCATTTTATGATTGCAAATGACTGAGGCACACTGCAAACTCAATACTGGGATTTGAAAGACTGCTGGATGTCTCCAAGGTGATGTGGACAGAATCAGATTTTGTCATACTATGCAACAGCATGGGGGGAAAAGGCAAGTTAGTGGTGCATGAATCTGTCTAAGTGAATCGAAGGCAAAGCAGAGAAGCTGTCCTTTRCTTTGAAGCCCTCTTTGTCTTGTCCTTGATGGGAATATCCCATTCCCATCATAAAATGTAGAGGAATTAATACATTTGTTGTAGCAGTGGAGTCTTAAGTTGACTCTTGGAGGCCCTGAATATTTAGTCAAATAAATTTTGCATGTTTAAAACCTTCTACTTGAATCAGAAAGCCAACTCCTCTTTCATCTGGAATCAAACAGCATTTCCTGGTTGAACAGTTAACTGCCCATGACAGTCATTAAAATCGTCAAACTACACAGCTGAAGTAAGAAGAAAGTTGGTAAGGTGTACAGGATTGAAAAGATTGTTAATTTACAGACACGGACCAGCTGGTCTAAATTTTTTTCCGGAATATTGTTAATTAGGAAATATAAGCCACCTTAAAATACTTAGAGCCTTGCAATGATAAGAAGCGTGATTTTTGGAGACAGATGTGRATCATTTCCTGAAGATCACCACTGTCTGTATTTCCTCTTGCAAAATTAATCTTAAAAGGACTATAAGGATAAAGGAGAKTCATAAGGCAGAGGTGGGGAATGAGTTACAATAAATATGGTATTGATAAAGGAAACAGTGCCAGGAAAAAGAAACTGGTAAGGAAACCAAAGGTGAAAACCGAAATACATAAAACTTCAACACATTTGTATGGAATAGCAGACCAAATACAGAAACTAAGTCTCCAGGCATGAAAATGCTCTATGCTTAATTCCAAATACATGTATCTAAGGTGATACACTGATTTGGAATGGATTAAATACCAGAAAWAACAGACAAATCCCTTCAGTGACAAAAGCAGCTGGAAGGGTATGTTTGATCTGAATTTAACTCCAGAATTCCTATTCAAGGGAAGATTTTACCACTCATCTGCGAATGTTATGTAAGAAAAACACCCTGAATASATGTGCTCTTTATAGTAATGCATTCCAATATTGAAAGAAATTAATGTCCTCCAGGCTTGACCTGCMTGACTTAAGTTGTGATACACACATTAACCATTATACTGGGTAAATAATGCTGTAATAGTGCATCATCAATCTTTGAATGAAATAGTTTTCTGGTCAGATAGGTTTCACACTCCCAAATCAATTAAACAAACTTCTGTATTCTCTTACAATGGCAGGCACTACCACTGCTTAAATAATTTTAAATATCTGCAGTAAGAATGTAAAAGGTCTGTCCCGCTGAACACCATCCTGTGCAATTTTAACTTTTTTTTGCTATTAAGTTCTTTTAGCTGCAGGTGGTTTTATAATTAACACAATATTTTTATCAGTCCATAATAAAAACATAAGGAAAATTCTTATGGACTGCTAGCAGATCTCTTCAAAATTGTGCCTCCTTGTCTTTCTGTTTTATTCTTAGAATCATGAGAGTTGGTCAAGAAAGAAATGCCAAGCGCAGTTTAGTGCAATTAGGTTTAGAAATGGGGAGCTGGTGCTTCATGCTAACAGCTAGGTGGTCCACACAGCTCCTTTTTGGGTTATACCGGGCAAAAATAAGTGAGTAGAGGATGGATGGGTGGCAGTACACACGGTAGCAAGATAGATGGCACACCAGGAATGTGACTGGATTGTGGATTGAGATTGTAAAGGAATGCAGACATGGGGCAGGGAAGAAATCACCTTTTGAATTAATTTGGAATTAATTTGGTTCACGCAGATCAAAACTGTAGTAGTTTGTACCTTAGATACTTAAGTTATAAACTCACACAGACATTAAATCAAGTCTCCATACCTCATTATAATGCATGCTCAATGATTCCAGAATTCCTTTTAGTCCAGAAGGACCCTATATGGAAAAATGTACATCAGAAGGTCATTTWAATTTAACTAATTTTACTTTACATATCTGTATTTAAAGAGCAATGAGTATGTAAAAGAGCTTTGATTTTTATTTGAGTGTAYGGTAAATTATTTTCTGTAACTCCATTATTTCTTTTCTTCTGGCCCAGAGGAAGAAGAAAGTTAGTTTTTAAATCTCTGGTTTTTGAAAACCAGTGACTTAGTTCCAAGTGATTTGGTCTATCAGAGAAGGTAGTAGTAAAATCCATACCAATTTTAATACAGTCCCTTCTGGTATGAACAACATTCTTGTTCTGCAGCATTTTAAAACTCTTTCTGCTAACTCAAAGCACAAGTTCTGATGTAGAAGCAGTGGCTAATGTGAGTAAACAGATAGATTTTTAACTTGAGAGTACAGTAGCTGAAATTGAGGAATGCCAGAATTCTCCAGAATGTTAACTTCCTAGTTTTATTAGCATTGCAAGTTTGTATTAAACTGATACCTTTCATCAAGAAATTCAACAAACGAAAAAGGAACTTCCTGCTCAGATGAACACTCAAGACAGAGAGACTGAAAAATGTGCTGGGAAAACATTTTTGAACATTAAACCCCCCACTTTTAGACACAGTCTGCCAAAAAACATGCCCTAYATGACATTTTTTAAGTTTGATGGATACAGCAGGACACAAAGTACAGTCAAGGACATGCAAACTAAGACTCAATTAAATTTACAAATTTAATTGTAAATTTGTAATTACAAATTTAACTCTCTTTGAGTTGAAGCTTTCACATAATGCAATATGAACTACAGCTAGTCATGATGGCTGTAAAAAACAGTTGCCTGTATTAATAAGATTACAATATATTCATGTAAGTCATTTAACCTGATTGACCAGGGCACAAAAGCAACTCTCCTCCTCTGGGGCTTCTTATAATTACAGTTTACGCTCTGCAGCTTTTGTCTTAATGAAGACATTAGGAAAATTTGGAAGCCACATGAAACATCTCAGGTGTCTCACTGCCTCCTTCCTCCTGACATCAGAAGAGATACAAGGCCATAAARTTTTACATTCATGTTATTTGGAAGTGAATTGTCACTTCAAATTTATGTCAAAAATTAGATCAATAGAGTCATGATGTTTTCACTGAGATCTCACTCTACTCTGATTTCTGAAGTTAATGGCAGAACATTTACTTTGATATCCATATTAAAGCTAGCAATCCAGAACTGGGACTGAAGTGTGACTGCCTAGATGCCTCAACTTCAACACTGTAAATCTGCTGTGTTGATTCCTTGAACCCAGGATCCTTGCACAACTCTGAAATCCTGMAAGGAGTCAAAAATAACAACTCATTCTCCCTTTGCATTTGACACCTTGTTCCATGGCTCTTTTACTGTTTTTCCACGACTGAAACTGCTACAGTCACATAACCCAGGAAGAACTCAATGCTGTATCTGTCATCAAACACAAACTCTCAGATACTCTTTGAACATAAAATAAATATCTTTGACAGGATTTAAAGTGCATTGTACATGCCACAGCTTTGAAAAAGAGACATAACATTAAAAGGCCCCAGAATTGTGTCATGACTGAGACAGTCARAGAGAACTTTAGGCATTTGGGTTGCATTCTTGACTATGCCACAGCCCTTGTGTTACCAGTTTAGTACTTCTGTTTTCAAAAAATTGACATAAATTCAATAATTTTATCTTTCCTTCATTCTTTCAACAATAAAAAAACTAGTAAAACAAGTGTACAACAGAAAATATTTTTATTCAAGACTTTTTCTTTCCCTTAACCATAGTGTCTTTTCTTCCACAGYTTCACTGCACTAATTTAGTTGAACAATCCACTCTCAAGTCTCTACAAAGAAAGAACCAGCAGCATTGGTTCGAAAGTGGAGAAGCAATGAAATTAACAGCACTTGAAGAATTATTGTACCAGCAGTTTCTAGCTTGTGAATGAGAATTTTGCACATCTGCCACTTTGAAGCTCACTTGAGCGGGGTTTCCTTTTTCTTTTTTAATATCAAGTTGTATAATTGAGAGAAGTGAAGCACACAGAGAGTACAGTTGCATGAATAAGAAAAGAACTGAAAATGTGTCCTGATTGTTTTCCAAAATTGCAAACAGGTTTCAGATGTTATTTCYACAGACAAGGCGAATAGAAGGGAATAGAAACACAGGTGCTTTAAGGGAAATTGCTCCAAACTGTGAAATTACTGGGGTTTACAATATATTTTCCTCCCTTAACTTTTATAGTTCATCTGCATTTCTGTGAAGATGAGACTGTTGAAAAAGTCTAGCCAATCTCACAGTCCATGCATAAAATGGGTAACAAGTAAATTGCACTGTTTGAATCTCAAGAATGGGCCATTTCRGAGAACACAGCCTGCAAGTGACTCAGCGCTGTTACTTTATCCTTGTATTTCACATTGGTGCCTGCCCATTAAAATAAGACTYTGCTTTTCTGATTATTTTAATGCAAAACATCGTGAAACTCATCAGTGCACATGACCAATATCGTGTAACTATTGCAAAGTGCAAATGGAAAGAATGATGAAGGCGTGATGTCTGCCAYGACAGAATACAAGAAACAAAATTACATTTTGATATGGATAAAGAAAACTTAATGCATAGAAACAAGCAATATTTCCAACCTTTGCCAGCCATTCCCACACTATYATGTAAGCATTTCCAATATTCTTCTAAGAAGCCGATGAAAGTCCAGGAAAACCAGAAATGCTACTGACAATTTTAACTTATCATTGCTTTGATTTATTCTTTATTATAATTAAGTGATAACATTCACTCRCTTTCAAAATAGTGATAGAGAAATGACAGTATTTCCTGAGGCAGAGGAAATTAAATTTTCAAGGTGAAGTGCTGGCTATTTAAGATTACTAGTTTGGTGGCACTGACATATGTATTGAATCCCAAGACCAAAAGTGCATGCAATTAAATGAAGTTCAAGTGAACTTCTCTGCTGAGTCACGTGTAATACAGGCAAAAATGAAACCCTATTTTAGTTTAAAACTTTAAGGAGCAACACAAAGTTAATCTTCCAAGCAAAATACTTGAGAAGATAACAGATACAAAGTTGAGCCTCTTGCAAAGGTAAATGATAAACTGAATTATGAACTTCAAGGGGTATAGCAATTGTGAAATTAATCCATTACAACCATCCATGGTTGAAAACAATAGCTTAGCTTGGGATATATTGATTTAAGAGCATGAATAATTGTAATTATAGTTTACTACCCTGTGATTTAGCACACTCTGAGTTTCATTCCCACCTCTGCCACAGACAGGTTGAACAGGCAGTCCTTACATTTCTCACCTTTAGAAATCAGTGCTGACAACTGATTTCACTTCAGCCAGACAACAACTGGRCAAAAATCAGACTGACCTCAAAGAATTCAGTTATCCTGGTGCAAGTCTGTAGCACAACTCTAGCTTAGGACTCTTTTGATTTAAAAAAAGGGTAAATCACTAAAATGGGARCTATTGAGAAATGGAATTCCTCCAGTCATAACAGTTCCAGTAGAGACAGAGAAAATTCAGACAGAAACAATAAAGTTAACCCTCAATGGAGAGATGAGTATAACTACTTTTTCTGTYCTCTAGCCCACCTATGTAAATATATATACCTGATGATTTGTGCAAAGGTATAAATAAATMAATAAATAACMCTCCAACCTCAACAGTGACAGACATTRGTCAGCCATTTTCCTGGTAGAACAAACAGAAAAATAAATTATCTCATCTTAAGAGAACTCCACACAAAATGAGRCAGAAAGTAATTCTACAACCCAGGACAGAAAAGCACTTTGCCTAAGTGAAGAGTACAAAATTGGGCCTGTASCACCTTAGGCTGAGGATATCAAGGTGAGATACATTTCATACATTGTAGTGCAGGTGACAGAATCCTGAAAGAGACTGCCCWGAGAGGTGGTGGAGTTTTYCTTGCTGGAAGAATGATGCTGGAAGATGATACAAGAATCAACTGGACACAACCCTGAGCTTTCAGATGACCCTGCTTGAGCAGGGARGTTGTATCAGATAACCCACACAGACCCCTTCCAATCCTACTCATKCTGTGATTCTGWAATTCTGTAATTTKCTTTTAAAATAAAAAGTTGTGGTATCTAGAAAGTCAATGCATTATACATAATGCAAAACAAGCTGTGGTCTGCTGGGAACCCCTTCTCTGTTGCTGAATCCTACAGGCTTTTGTTAGCAGCTATGGCAGAAGAAAGCAATCAGCTCAGTTCTGAAGTCTGATCAAAATGCTGTTCTTACAACCTCATAGMATCCTATTATCATAGTAATTCTTTTTGTTTCATAAAATCAGCATTTCCATTTCAGTGAAGAGCCAWGCCGAGCAGGGYRACAGMRTATGAAAGASACAGTCTCTGTTTCAGAAGACTTTAGAAGAAAATGGAAGTAGGCAAATATATAAAATACATTTGAAGGGTACAGAGATCTTGATTTTACAATTACAATTTTCAGAATGCTTGTGAGAGCAAAGTGAATGTTGTGTTTAACAGAAGATTTTCACTGCTATCCAGGCACTTTAAAAGTGGAGAAAGGGTCAAAAAGCACTAGAGGGAGCTGCTGCTCCACTTGTGTTCTTGCGTTCAGCACAAATYGCTACGCACTGGATTGAGACAGGTGTGATCACACATCTCGGCTCTCCTGCGCTGAAATAACAGAACAGTACTCAAAACCAACATCAGACAGCAAGGATGAAACTGCGAATTCTGAACCAGAAGGGAMTCAAAGAACACTTTAAAAGTCTATAATATATAATAGACTTAAAGCAAATACTCAAAGGAGGAATACATTCTGTAGGTTTACAGAAATATTTTTTATAGCCGATCAATAAAAATCTTCATTGACTCCTTGCCTTTTGTGAGCACAGGATTTGCTCCAAAGGGAAAAAAAATGACATAAAAGAAAGGATAAGGGAAAAATGACACAAAAGAAAGGATATCTGGAAGAAATTTCATGGAAGTCCCACTTAAACTGAGCTGTTTCATTACCAGGTGCCAATCAATCTGTGTTTCTGACAGTGATACAGGTTTTTAACCGAAGCTGTGCAGATGATATTAAGGGACTAGAAATTCACTCCAAGCATTAATTTTACTAAAAGAAAATCCCAGAAATTAGGTTAGGAATAAAAAGAAAAGAGATGAGATCCTGAGAGAAGGTTAAAAAAGTCTTAAATGCTGCCATGACACAAGTTCATTTTTGACTGTTAGAAGGAGAATTTACAATCCTGGCACATGAAGGCACAGCATGCATGCTAACTGCAATTTTCGCAACTTCACATTTTTCCTTAATTTTATCCYTGGTCTTTCCCCAGAAAAATCCCTACGTGCACACACTGTTATTTGGACAGTCCTTCATAAAAAAAAAAACAAACAAAAAAACCCTGCATATTGTACCCTGTCCTGTACAACGTCTTCCTCAAAGAGGCAGAACTTTCCTTCTCGCAGTTTTTGCATTTTTTTTTTGCCAGTACTGAGCACTTAACTGTTCTAATATCTAAATTAAATACTTAACATCATGCCATAAACTGATAAACAAATTAGGTAAATTTATTCATTTCAAACACCTACTGTATGCTGTAGCCACCCTAACAACTAATGACTGAATCTTCTTTTTCTCAAAAACAAATTTCATCTTCTTTTGAAACATCAGTGAAAACCATTTATAGTGGAGAATCTAACTTTTATGTTTTCAGTCAGTCTGTTAACCACTTTATACCCTGTGTATGCCAAACTTGTGACAGCAACCACCCTGCAGGTGTGACTGTTTGCACTTTGGAAAGGCCAAAGCAAAGGCTAACAATGCACGAAGAAGCTGCCTGCTGTTAGGAGAGAAGGGTAACTGGAAGCACAGCAAAACTGAATATGGCTTGAGCCTTGAAAAGGAGAGGGGAATGATGGATCACCTTGAAGGTTTTCTTGGTGCACACAAACTGTGGCAATAGGAAATGGGAAATATGGGGATAGTGCCAATGCATGTTAGCAGGCATTACTGCTTTAGAGTGGGGCTTTTCTGTGTGTTCTCAGTGTTGGAAGAGGAACASGGGATGGTGGTATAGCTGTATCCAAAGAGGGGAGTGCACCAAKATAGTCACACCAGAAACAAATACTTTTAACCAATATTTAGGCTGTGGCTGCTTKAGGAATGCTTTTCTGTATGTAGTGCTAGGCTACAGTGCCCAATACAGAGCTCCTTGGAGTGATGTTGCCATGCTGACAAAGTTGAGCTTTCCACTTGCTGTAAGAAAATCTGAAACACGTCCCAGTAATAAAAGCGCAATTTAGCTTCCACTCAAGATTTCTGGTGTATCTGTCAAGGATCATACAGCTCCACAAGCCTGACCTGCCAGCAAATCTAGGATGGCAGAAATCTTTAACAGAGAAACAGCTTTTCACTGGCTCACAAAAAGCTAAGTAGACTAGGGCTAACACTGACCTCTGCTACAGTCTGCTTTTTTATCCTTTAAAGGTTATTTTTGGCACTTGCATTAAGGAAGATCCTGCATCACTCCTTTCCTCTGTTTGGCCTCCTCCAGTCTGCAGGACCATTTCAGTACTAGGACTGCAAAAGAACTCAAACAAGCAAGGCTGGTCAATATGACTACACCCAGGGGAGAAGAGTGAGAGGGAGGGATTTTTAACTGTTTGGTTTTACGCAGGATAAATTAATTCCATCATAAAATACTCTTTTTGAACACATTTTGAAAGAAAAAATATTTATGAAATTTATGCAGTTTTTGTTTTCGATGAGGGTAGATGACATCTGCTTCATTTTAGTCATTTTATCCCATGCAGCAGTGCATTATTCTGCTCTCTACATATAAGATGAGATTGAAGAATATGAATCACATGTTCAGATGCACAAACCACTAGCCTTTATCCATTTCAGGTAAGCAAAAGAAGGGATTATGAATTTTTTGTTTATATTAAGAATGTAAAGCAGCTGAGGTTTACTYAATCCAAAATGTTTTGTATTTGTGCATGACAGCATTTTTACAATAAACATATAGAGAGATTTTACAAATACAACCAAGTCTTTCTCTACCAAAAGAAGGCTGCATTCATTGAAGACTAATATACATCCATGCCTGACTTGAATTTTAAATCCTTTATCTTAAAAAAAAAAGAAGACGAAAAAGAAAATCCCAAACCTCTTAGATCTGAGCTAAACCCTTTAGTTCTTCATATTACAAATCCTTTCATAAAGTCATGTATTTCTTAATCTTTTTAATTCTTCAGTCAACTCATTTGAACTACAGCTGAATGCTCATTCCAGTGCTGGCTATAATCCTCTCCACCATTCAGACAGTTGGCACATGCTTCACACAGTCCTTCATCTTTCAAATTACCCCTCTGAGACAGAAATTATCCCTTCTTCTACAGAGCATCACGCATTTTGCAAAGGGAATGAATGCAAAGTATTCACAGCATACATGGCCAGTCTTTCTTTGAAATGCCAATTTCTGTTTCCTCTGCTGAAGTTTCCATCTTGTTTTTTCCCTCCTGTGTAGTCACACATACTTGTGGACGCAGCTTTTTTGTTTTTGTTGTATCAAAAGAGTACCAGTAGGCTGTTTGATACAGTAGAGTACACACAGATCAATTATTTGCAACTATAATTATGATCCAGTAACCTGCTATAAAAAAGCTAACAAAATCCGAGGACAGAGTGAAAATTTCCCATTCCCCTTGTTAGTTACTCACAGGAGGTCCTGGTGGCCCGGGTTTTCCTGGAAGGCCTGGTTTGCCTCTTCTCCCCTGGAAACAAAAAACATTTATAAATGCTGTGGTTAGGGCTTACTTGGAATAAGAATTTTAAGAAAAGATTTATTGCCTTACGTATTAGTAAAAAAAAAACCAAACAAAACAAAACACATCCAAAATGAATACTCTGTATCAGTCGCTGCAACACTATCTAATTTGAGTAGTTCTAGGATTGCCTTTAGTAGTTATGACAAACTTTATCTGCATCCCTGTAACATTTMTAGTCACATTTTAAAGCTTTGTCTCAAATGTCAGTGCACATTCATAAGCTATTAAAAAAGCACCTTGATGAGGTGCAAAGAAATTGTATTTRTCTGAATACACCAGAGCTTGGGATGCTAAGCTGTGCTCCAGCAGAAGGACTTTGGCAGCAGAAATCCGTACATATGTGCAATATAACCCAATTTACAAACACCCTTACCCTTCCCTGGGATGTGAGAACCAGCACAAAAGGCAGAGATTTATTTGCAAAAACAATCCACCTTCTTTGTGCAATTACTACCATCTGTGTATACATAATGCACATGCAAAACCATTTGCATTAAAACTTAAAGTCCATAAACGTCTACTTAAGGGAGACTTTCCACTCAGTTTCTAAAAAAAACATGCATATGTAACTATTACAATTTTTTAGTACAGAGTTTGCTTGAACAACTGTTTTCACACWAGCTTTTTTTTAGGAAAATAACCATAAAAATGTTAGTAATTTACATCTTTATTGTCAAGCTGAAATGTGATGCACATTTTTTAGAAACAACAGCTGAGAACAACTAATGTCTAGGTGCAAATGGTAAAGAAAAAAAAGTATTATATCCATTAAGAGCAAAGTCTTCCCTTGCATATGGCAAATGTAAATTAACATAAAGCATTAGGGGGATGTCCTGGTGAAAACTTGGCTTTAAAAGGGAAATAATTAAAATTCTTGCTGACAGCTCACAATTAACACAYAGGGATATTTCTGCAAGCTATGGTCCCTATTCTAAGTCTGTTTCTGTATTTTATCTAATAACAGTCTCACACAGACTGCAGAAGTAATCTCAGGAACAGTAAGTGAAATTCAGTTTTGCTATTTCCTGATGAGAGCCCCAATCTGTAGGAAAACACTCTCATGCTCTGCATTTCATTAATCTTCATCTATGCTGAGGCGAAGAAGATGATGAGAGAAAGGGTGGAAAATCCCTCTCCCTCACACCCTGCAGCTCTCCAGGGTAACCTCTTGCCTAGAAGCCACAAAAAGGTAGGTATTTAAAGCCCTTCAAGCTGAAGAACAATCAGAGCAAAGRCGGTGTGGATGTGTTTCAGCCACTGGGTTGTGCCACACAACCTTCACACTGCCACCACGCTTTTATCAATGCCCTCAGTCAGTCACTGTGTTTTAAGGGCAGCGTGAAACAAAACCACCTCAGCATATTTGGAGTGCCAAATTCCTGGGTCTTAACTAGCTGAGACATATGTTATGTGCTGAGCTGTTTAATCCCACCAGTACTTGCACATGCAGGGCTCGWACTGGGGCAGCTCAGGGTAAATTTTTAGAACCAAAATACAGTACCAGGTGCCCAGACTGGGCTCAGGGCTGTTCTGGCCTTACCACCCACCCCCAGCGTGTCCTCTGCAGCCCTGGGACCAGCTAGAGCTGGGAACCCCATCTGGGCTAAGGTGGAGCAGCTTCTGACTTKGGTCAGTGCAGTGAGAAATTGAGGAGATTGCCTGGCCTGACAGGGCACAGCACAGGGAAAGGCACACAGGCACAAGGAAAGGGGGCTGCAGGTAGCTACATCTACACCTTTGGGTTGACCTCCACTCTGGAAATACAGGTGGAAATATAATATTTCCTGCTTTTTTTTTTATTTATTTATTTTTTTTTTAAAGTAAACTTCCCTTAGAAAGTATGAAAAATAGATTGAGTGGTAATAATGGAATAAAGAGAAATTGCTCCATAAAATTTTAAAATAGTACCTCTGAGTTACAATGATCTACAGAGTTGACTTCTTGAAGCACCTTCCTTTTCCTGTTTGAACTTATTTAAAGTATCCTGAAGATGACACTTAAAATCATAGCAGTCTAAACAAAGTATCAAGGAAGTGTCAGGATGAAGAAGGCAGGGCTTTGACTGGCAGACACAACTGTGAACGAGGTGTTAATTACACAGGAAAACATGGAATATGTTGGGAAGGCAATTTTATCTCTGTTTACAAGACGAGCTAAAATGTGATTTATGACATAGCAAAGACAAAACTTGAACTTCCTGAAAAAACAGTTATAAAAAAAAAAGAAATTGCTGGTTGTTATTTTTCACTGTCATTTATTAATTACTAGAACACACACCCAGTGAAACACAGAAAAAACATTTGACCCACTTTTTATCAAATTATTATTTTTATCTAATTATTTTTATCTAATTATTTTTATCTAATTATTTTTATCTAATTATTAGTCATTATGCAATGTTGCATGTAAAACAACCACACAGATCAGTATGAGGCATAAGCTTTTTATAGAGTAATAAAAGTACTTTTTTTGCCTCCGAGAACCTTTATAAACTGTCTGGTATTTTAAATTTAATACAGAAATATATGAAAGGCCACTACCTATCAGCAATGCCTTTCAGATACAGAGCCTGCAATGTTAGGAATACCCAAGGCTCCACCCACTTGTCAGCACTACTGCTTCTCTAGGACTTCTCAGCATCAGCAGGGGAAAAATATATATATATATATATATATATATATATATATATATATAATGGCAACAGTGGAAGTAGAAAAAAAAATAGTTTTTATTTTTGTTTAGGGTAATTAAAACAATTAGAAGAATGTTTTTGACAAGCCCATTACGATGTTGCCGTGAGCAGACCCTGAGCCAGACCATGACTAAATATTTACAGTTTGATTTTGAGCCATGCTTCTGGCAAGAAAGAAGTGAAAAACATCTCAGTGTCCTCTCTGGTTCGCAGAGTGGGCTTAGCAGAGAGCCACAGCTCCCATCTCCTGCTCAGCAGAGGRTCCTGGCAGCAGGGAGAGATGGACTCAGTGCCACACTGCTGTGCAAAGGGCTTGCAGCCTGCACAGGAGCCATGTTACCTGTATTTAGCTGAGAYTACTGAGCAAATATTAAGGTCATAAAACCACTCAAAATAGAAATAAATATCCTGAGCATCACATCCTTCTTTTAACTAAATAAAAAATGCAATACAACCTAACACTAACTTAATAACTATATGTAGTGTCAACAAGTTGTTTGATGCTACTTAGAATATCTGATGACCAGAACAGTTGCTGGTTATCTCCTTTGTACTACACACATTTTTGCTGGCAATGAATGTGGTAAGTTTTCTAAATGTTACTGATATTGTATGCTGTCCCCTTGACTCCTGAAATGCCTGCCCCCCACTAATTGGTACAGCTGGCTACTTCCCTCTTTCCCAAAGGACAGGCTTGAGCTAGATCGTTCAAATAACCAATCATTCAAATAACAACTGCTTGGTTAGGGGCAAAAAGAGATAAAATACTAAAAATAAAGTAAATGAGAAATCATGTGCTTCAGGAAACCCAGCTGAGTGCCTAGCCGAAGTACATGGTCAGCTGCATTCCTTATTCCTCTCTTTCTTCACCCCCTTTGTAAATTGGAATGACTTGATGAGCTTTGGAAAGCTGCTGCTCCTTGCACAGGCTTTGTGCTCTGGTTCTGACTGCTGCCCCTGGGCACCGCTGCAGGTCCAACACACAGTGCAAGAATTAAAAAGCTGAATGGTAAACCCCTGCTGCATYGTGTCATATCCATCTATTCACATCCCTCTAACTTTAGAGGAGTAAGATCTCTAATCGTGGTGTTTAAAAATAAACCAAGGATTATTTAAGGATAAAATCAAGCAGTTACGTAGGAACGCTGGCATGATTTAGGGAATTAATAATTTAAAGAATCTACACTTGAGTATGAAGGAAAAAGTTCTTAGGATAAGCTCATGTGAATTTTCAAGGGAAAGTGCTAATTAGTGGTTCTTGAAACACATCATCACATTTCAAAACRGGAACTAGTTCTAGGGAAAGTAGAAATCCGGGCTTTAAAGTCTTAACTCCTGTAGTGTTGTGCAAGATTAATGAGGTTTATGCAATTTGTTTTCCAAGCTAATCTAAGATTCTCTTGGTTAATCCTCAAAACCAGAGTGACAAAGGCACAGACAAAACCAAAACAGGAGGTAGGTGGGGAGTAAAGACCCCAAATCTCAGAGTTCCCAACCGACAGCACCCTGGGTACCCAAATGGAGCCACACAAGTGGAGCTCTGGGCACTTAAGGATGTTTCTCCAGATGCCAAAGTTGCCCGAAGTTGCCAAACAAGTTCCAGTGCCTACACTAACTCAGATCATAGCAAGGGTTTGGATATTCTCTCCCCTAAATTGAAAATCTATGTTGCAGACAATGAAACCTTTTTAACTTCRGTAATACAGTGTTAGGACTTGAATGTGCAATTCATTCTTCAATCGTATTAACTTTGGCCTTGAGGACATATTATGGTAACCATTATATTCTAAATTAACCTCTGTATTAATGTTAAACCTGAACAAAATGACAAAAGGAAATAAGGCCAGAAGGCAAGAAATTAAGCAGTTTGCAGAAATCAAGTGCAAGTCTGTTCCTCATATCCCACTAAAGCCTTTCACAGAAACACGGCTCACAGAAGAATGGAGCACACAGAGCCTAATCCCCTGTTTTGGGAGAAAAGTCAGTAGGGAGCTCCTCACTAATGCAGTAGCACTCCTGCATTCCATCTTGGGTTTCCAAAACCATTTTAGGAATTATTTACAAAATCTCTAGTTTCTTCATTGTGAAACTAATACAATGCTAAAAGGGAACGYCTAGCCAGACTACAGAAAATTCAAATGCATTTAACAAACAAACAAACAAAAAATCCTTTAAACAGGCATAGCAATGTTAAGAAGTCAAATGCCACAACCTATTTTGCCAACAAATCACAGTTATGGACAAAATCCATCAA